GAAGAGAAGATGATTCTTGCTTAAGCATCACATGTGAAGTGCAAGTGCATCAGAATCAGAATCAGAATCAGAATCAGGGTTTATTGCCAAGTACATTTACACATACAAGGAATTTGACTTGGTGTATTGGTGCTAAACAATTAACAAGTAAATAAAGCAGAACTAGCAACAACTTAAATAATACAATATTAGAAGCTATTACAATATATAAAATAGAATTTAAAAATGTAAAATATAAAAAATAAAGATAAAAAACACAAAATGTACAAAAGGTGCAATGTAGGAGCTGTGCAGTGGACTATGAGAAAAAATCTTAATCGGTGTGGATGAACCCACTCGTGTGTGTGGATGAATAACTCAAGTTAGTGACTGTTGAGCAGCATATCTGATCGGCAATCGTGCCCCGCTGTACACTGCATGACTAACGACGAGCAATCAAGCTGTAATTTGGTCCTTCTTAAAAATAGTTTATAAATTAAACAGTGCATGGTAGCTTAAATTAAAATTACAGCAGAATGTTGGCACGCAATACAAAAACAAAAACAACGATGAATTCCCCAACTGTGGATTCATAAAACATCATCAATGGTGTTCAAAATGTAGTCACAGTCATTAAAGTAGTCATAATACAACCATAAGTCACAAAGCTGATGAGCCACAGATACTCAACATTTTACAGATCACCTCTGAGATACTACATTGTCAGTAAGATACTTCAACAAGTACTCTAACCCCCGGACATCCAAGAGACTCTACAACAAACAGCAATGGAACAAAACACAAAATCAGATTCCCAGAGCAGAGCAGATACTGAAGATGGAGAATAAGGAGTTTATAACACAAAGCCAGGAGCCAGCAGCAGCCGCCAGCAGGACTAGTTCCAAGATTTCCCCACCTAGCCACAAGCTAACACTCGCTTCCAAAAAGAAGGTTTCAGGCAGCACCAGTACCCATCGAGTTTCCTGGTCCGTGGAAGTAGAGAAACCCACCCCCTCCCTGATGGCAGGTGGAAGCAGAGGGACATGAACTTGCATCTGAGACAGGCGAAAGTGATGAGACAACAGAGCCACAGACAGTTTACAGACACTACATTGTCAGTAAACTGTGATCGCGCCCTAAGATACTTCAACAAGTACAGATAGAGGAAACCACTACCACGCTGCAAATGGAGGACTTAATGTATAAAATGCAGGAACAGACCAGCAGTGGGGCTGCTGCTATGAGCCATTGAGTCCCATACAGGGAAGTGAGATCTTTGTTTTCATCCTCGGCACAAAGTCAGACCCTGTTCCCAGTGCGTGTTGACTCCACCTTATAACTGATTCTGTTTGGGATTCTGTTTATTGTGTGCCAAAATTCTACTTTTTGCAGATGTGGTTTTGTTGGCTTCTTTAGGTTGGAACATGAAGTGTGAACAGTTTGGATTAGGGTCAGCACCTCCATGTCCAGACCATGATTCTCTGTCGGAATTTGATGGACCGCTGCTCACTCCGAGTTAGGGAGTGAGTCTTCTCAATTAAATGTGTTTAAGTATATCTGGGTCTTATCACAAGTAATGGTTAAATGAATTGTGAGTTTGATATGCGGGGTTGGTGCTCCTTCAGCAGTAATGCAGGCACTGTACCCGCCATCGTTGTGAAGAGGGAGCTGAACCTGAAGGCAAAACTTTCGATTCACCAGTCAATCTTTGTTCCAACCCTCACCCATGGCCATGAGCAGTGGGAAGTGACCAAAGAATGCGATTGCAGATACAGGCCGAAATGATTTTCATTAGGAGAATGGCTAGGCTCAGCTACGAGAGAGGTTGAGGAGCTCAGACATCTGAGGAAGTAGAGCCACTACTGGGTGCACCTATAAGTGGAATGATTTTATATCCCATTTGGCCCTGTAACTTCTTGGAATCCCCCAGGATTCCCCCCAAAATGTTGCTGGGAGGAGGGATGTCAGTGTTGCTAAAAAATAAAATCCACCTTCACAAAAACAAATAAGAAATAATATTTTCTTGCTCATACTATTATATTTAAGTGAGACATTTAACTAAATATGATGTCAAAGCTTTTGGACATCACCGCCAGAGAAAAATTCCAGTCACCAATGATGAGAATCACAGTTATAGCCTATGTTTGTTTTTGTTTATTTACCTCTATAAGGTGTTATCAGTCTGTATTAATATAGCCTAAAGTAGACAAAATTCATAGATTTTCAACTCCTTTAGATGAATTCAGATTTAAATGAGCAGTCAACTGTTTTGGGGTGTAACAAATCCAAAAAATCAATAGGCCTATTTTTTATGAACTGCGAGAAACTTGACTAAACCACAATATGAAAATATGATTCTATATTGTTCAACATTAGCCTCATCACAAGACTGCATTTCTGCAAGTTTTTTATGAAAATGTCCAGCCTGTCAGCCTAAACGCCCTTAAAGCAAATATTTAAAAAAAGAAGAGAATCCATTTCATGCTGCCAAAAATCAATGTAGGTTTACTCAATTCCAGTCTTATGATTGACACTTAGCCTGAGTGTATCACACCCACTATTATGTGTCTTGAATGATCAAGAAGGGGAATGATTTGTGATTCGATCCTGAGGCCACAAGGTGGAACCAGTCAGCAGAAAACTTTATAATTCCCCTTGTCGCTCAGAAATAACAAACTAAATACCGTAAGCACATATTTGTAAGGGCTGAAAAGTAATAGTAAGCCTACAGTCGACATGTTGAACAGCAGGTAGGCCTATGGTAGGTGACAAACAGGTTATGCAAGAAGCAAGAAAGGAGGTAGTTGACGCCGCCCATCAGGTGTGTTAGCAGGTTGACTCACATTTCCACCACCAAAGCGTAGATTTACACACATTTTTCCCTCCGACAGTCTGCGACGATATTTACTTTTGAGCCCATCCAACAAGCGTATGGCTACATGAATGGACTTTGACTTCAACCCGTCGGAATTGAGGCAGTTTTAATGTTTTATCCTCCCATGTCTCGGGTATGGCTTCTGCTTCTCCTGGGAGGACTCGTGCTGCCAGGTGAGTTCACACGACTTCCTGGAGAGAGTTTGCGGAGAAAAAAAAAAAAGTTTTGAAATGGTATTTTGGGGCTTTTCAGCTGTAGCCTACCATTAAAGTCCAAGTTTAGTTTTACTATAACCAAATAGTCTCTGCCTTCTGATAAAATGTTCGACATAATAGCGTCATACAGAATAACAGCATAATGTTGTCTACTATTGATCGTACTAAAATGCTACATAATGACTGTATAGGCCTACGTGTCCATAAATAAGACAATTATATTAGACCATTACAGGAGTCTTTTGTGTCGAAGTTTCTTCTATTTTTTGCCTATCCAAACGTTGACAGTAACACACAATAGCCTATTGTAACATCCAAGAAACAGATAGGCCTGTAGGGAATAGTAATATATTGATATAGATGTGAAAGGATGCTAATATTTTCAATACAAAATCAATGTATCCTAGCCTTTTTCTGTTTTAAATGAATGTAACGTTCACGGTCATACGCTGACAAAATAACAATCAGTTGTTTACACAATCTGATGGATTTTTTTTAATGCCAGGATGTTTGAACCTTAATTGAAGCCCCAGTCATGGGTTAAAGGTAACATAAGGCAACAGGTTGAATTCCGAAACACATTGTCACTGAAGTCTCAAAGACCTCAAAGGCATGTATTTATTATTGTTCTAGTTTAGCAAAGAGAGAGACCCTCTGCTGCACCTGCCTAAAGGGATATTTACATTAAAAAAAAACACCACAGTCAGGAGTCAGTGCAACCTATGTGACAGGTAAACCATAACACTCACTATAAGCTTCACCAAATGGACTTTGCATTGTGTCTTTCTTTTCCCCCCCAGATCAGCAATGAATGCTGTAACCACCGGATCTGGGTGTTTCATGACAGAGTAGTGCTCAGTTGTGTAAATGTTGATGTTTTAGCACATTTCAACATGTCAATAAATGAACACAATGGATTAGTGTCATGTAATGTGCATTCGATTTATACCATGTTTATCCAGTCAGGGAACAGTTTATACTGAATATGGAGCTCTTTCATTTGCAAAGTTAGAAGTTTTGATTTAGGTCTATCAAAAAATTGTACACAACAAAACCAGATGAGCCAACATATTCATAAGTGTTGATATTAGAGCAAAGGTTAGATTGGTCTCAATAATAAGAAATTACACATATAGGAACAATTGTGAGCAAAGGCACCACATGTATTTGGCTTTGTAAAAGACATAGCACCGTCATTCTCTCGTGTTGACTTCGGGTTTAGTTACACTTCAAAAGCCTTTCTGTTTGTGAATATGGAGGAGCTGTTCAGACAGGCAAGCTTGCAGACACCGTGTGTGTGTGTGTGTGTGTGTGTGTGTGTGTGTGTGTGTGTGTGTGTGTGTGTGTGTGTGTGTGTGTGTGTGTGTGTGTGTGTGTGTGTGTGTGTGTGTGTGTGTGTGTGTGTGTGTGTGTGTGTGTGTGTGTGTGTGTGTGTGTGTTTGGCTGGGCTGTGGTGGTGGGGACGCCTGATTTCATTGTTGAATGAATTGGAAAATTACTACATTATGATCTTCCCTTGCTGGCATTACAGCTGAAGATTGTAGACATTACTTCTAATGTTGAAGCCAGTGGGACCTTTATTATGAGAGTGTTTCTGTCGATATCTAAGTGCAGAGCTACGTACATTTCAAGGCTGAATGTCAGATAGACAGTCTAACAGTGTCCCAATGGAGAGATAACAGCAGGCTTTGGAGCATAATCATTCAGTAGGTTCCCAGGCTATTTCTACTCAGTACTATACTATGCAAGAGCTGAATCTTAAAGGTGCTCTATGTAGTTTTGAGAAATGTGAAAGTTTGAGAAGTGTACAGATTCTGTGGTATATGTTCATAACTCTATACACAAACTGCCCTCAGAGGAAAAATTTGGTCCCTGGAACACTGTTTGAAGATAAAATGCGACTCGAGAAGTTATGGTGGCGGGCTCGCAACAGTGAAACCGTAACTCTCCTGGTAGCTTTTTTTAGCTCCAAACAGTGTTCCAGGGACCAATTTTTACTTTGAATAAAGTTTGTGTATTTAGTTCAGAAAATCTAGCATAGAATAGTTTCACTTCTCCAACTTTCAAATTTCACTACCAAATCTACATAGTGCACCTTTAACTTTAACCTGGTAAGTATCCCCTAGGCTAACTCTTTTTTTGGTAGTGTATCAACAGTATTCCACCTCCAATCCTTGGCGAGGGTTGTAACCACAGATTTAAAGGACAGCCACAACAAATGTCACCACTGATGTTTTATTGGATAATTACTCTGAGTGAAGTGTAAAGATTCCAATGCCTTTTTTGACTTTGCGTCTCAGGCATTCCTTTATCAGTTCGTCTCTGAAGGTTTGCAGCTAAACAAGCTCATACAAGTTGATGGCGTTGATTCAGTTTTATTGCTCAAGCAAGGCAAACACTGTCCTGAGGCATCTCACTGTAGGAACGTCCATGACAGTGTCTGCTCTACAGAAGACAACACTGACAGCAATAAAGCAAAAAGAATCAACAGAAAAATAGTTGGAAAGAAATCATAAATGTCATCGGACCACTTCATCAGTTTAAATCAGACAAATATCAGATGAAAGGGGGGATCATTCAAAGAACTATACTATTTTGACTCGCTGAATGCCAGAAAAAGGCACCTCTTTGTGTATTTAGATTAACCACTTTCTAAGAATTAAACAAAGAAATACTTTCTGATTGAAACTGCTTCAGGTTACAGTCTCTATAAGTCACAGTATATGTGGATGAATGAATCATTCATCATATGTGGAGACAGCAGTGGTTGAAATTCACCAAATAGTGTTGGATTGACAGTCGAACTGTGCATGTTCTTTACCAGCTGAGCTAAACCAGCACCCTGAATCATTAATGGTTTGCTCAACCGACCAAGAAACAGGTAGATCATGATTCATGTTCATGTCACACTTCAACAAATTAAATTCAAATTTTGGCTTTGAAGTTTTGGTAAAATGGAAAATGCAAAAAGATACTTTGTCAACTGAAAACTGAACTTATTTGAAGTTTGAAGTGCTTCTTTTGTTAACATTAGATTATAAATATACTAATTTTAGATCCACTGTTTTTATTTTTTTAAAGTTTATTTTTTTAACCTTTTTAAAGTTTTTTTTGTACCCCGTCTTTATTATCCAATGTCAGGTAGTTCTTGGCATTTGATTATCTTTTGGGTCTCTTTTTCATTATTTCATACTGATATGAAAACACTTTGCACATTTATTTCATAAACAGGAGCCTAGGATGAGATGTCTCACTTGCAATTTATTTAGCGTTTATTGGTTTTGACTCATAAAGGTCAAGAACATGTCCACTAAATGGATTTTTACAAGTTGGATGGTGTGCTTGAGTTTGCTTGCAATAATTGAATTATCGAAATTTTACACACTTACTTTATGACAATGTGCATATACCACTGGGTTCTGCATACACATACACTGACCATGCTTTAAAAAATACCATCATGTTCTAAGATTGTAGATTTCTTGTACAATCATACATTTGATTTGATCCATGTCTGTGTAGGATTAAAGCACATTCTTGGCTTCTCCTCCTCTGAGGTTTATTTTCTGGAATGTTTTAATCCTCAGGTTGAGTTTCAGGTCTGCTCATCGCTGTGGCTGACAACGTGATGCAGATGTAGCTAAACTAACAGTTTCAAGTAAAATACAATAAAAAAAGTAATATTCAGATGTATCATTTAATACATCATGTCCAACAACAATCACCTAAACCTGTTCCTTTTAAGGCGGTGTCGTCTGACCCTCTGTACTTGTGCACACACGCAATCATTAACCCATAGTAAGTGTAGCATCTATTTCATTATTTGTATTATGACTCTCAAGTTTGCTTCACGGAATTGAAGTAAATTAGAAAAGTGGTAGATTAATCCCTTATTCCTAAGCAGGGGTTTCATTTTAGAGGGTCACAATTTAAAGCTTCAAACATAAAAAGCAGAGATCTGAGGCACATGTCACTTTGCTCTTTGTCAAGGTAAATTATCAGTGATACGTACATCTGGTGCAAACAGCTCTGCTCTCGTTTAAAGTTTTCAAACTGCTCTGAAGTGGAGGAGTTGAGAAAACATAATCATCTGGACCGTTTAGAATATAACTTTTGTTGTGTCAATGAGTCAGGTGATGGAAATGTTTGTATAATGTATTGGTATAGTTGATGAGTAATTCTGAATGTCTGTATTGTAGGGGTGCGTCATGTGAGTGGAATAGATATTTACACGCCAAGTGAGGTGGAGGCGGTCAACGGGACAAATGTGAAGCTGAAGTGCACCTTTACATCCAACCGTCCAGTGTCTCTTCAGTCCGTCACAGTGTCCTGGAACTTCAGATCCTTGAATTCAGGATCAGATGAGTCGGTGTGTAGAAACTGATTTTATTTTTGAACATATATTAAAAACATATATGAATGTTTAAAAATGTGTTTACTCTATTTTCATTGTTAACAAAATCCAGCCAAGGCTTTCGACTGAGCTTTTAACATGTTTTTAAATGATAGTATATATTTGATTTTCTTATCACCTCTATTTCTTATACAAGCTCCCTCACACTCATACAGAATTCAAATACAGGCAACAACAGACAGAGAATAGTAAAAAATTGGGGCTGCACATAAGCACTGAACTGGCCCTCGCACCATTGTGCATGTCAGGGCGCGGTCACACTGGTCATCTGTACCGTGCTGTACCCAAGCACGATTGCTCCCCCGCTGCGCAATTCCCCCACTGGCCGGCACGGCCCGCGGTCATACTGGCCAGGACTAACCGTGCTTAAGCACGATTACCTCTTGTACATAAAGTCGTAATACAACACATGCACGCTTTATGTTATTATGAAGCGTGCTCAGTTTACAAACAGGCAGACGAGAAAGAGAGAGAGAAAGAGAGACGCGCAGTCGAGTCCGCGTCTGCACATCAGAGAAAAACACAGAGCATTACAGCTACTTTACTGACTTTGCAGCTTATTTTAAACCATTTTAATCAGACACAACCATAAATAAATAAATAAATAAAATAGACGCGCGGCCGAGTCCATAGGCGAGTCTGCGGCCTCACATCGGAGAACAACACAGAGAACATGACAGCTACTTTGTGGCTTATTACGTCATTTTAGTCAGATAAAGCCATGAAACTCTGGATTTCTCCATAATGAAGGCTGTCAGCGCTGTGTACCCGCATGCTTGTGCTCGTGCATGAAGTGTACCGTGCCAAAGCACACCTCTCCAAAGTATGCCAAGGAAGTGTACCGTGCCTGAGCACGATATGGAGCGGTCACACTGGTCAAACGAACTGGACTTTAGGGTTGGGCACGGTACGGATGGCCCGTGTGACCGCACCCTCAAAGTTTTATGCTTGTTGGGGTTATGGCACAGCCGCAAAGTGTGCTGCTGCTGCAATGTGTTTCAGACACACCTTTAAACTATCATGTCATTTAGACACAACATACAATGAGAGCATTGTGTGTAAATGTAATGTGAACTGACTGAAGCATGTCACGCAGGCTTACTGTGTCTGATTAATAGGTAGCAATATAACAAATATGCATATTTGGTATAGAGATATTATCCAAACAAGTAAAGTCTTTGGCAGTTTTGACCCTTTATGTTTGAGTAACAGTAACTTCCTGTTTCTTGGCGAAAGATCACATTTTTGACAAGCCACCATGGCCATGGTCCACTTAAATGCCCACTTAAACTTCAAGTTGGATCAGATGAACCTCATAGGAGAAGTTATTTTAAGAAGAATGGCAAAAGATCAAGTTACACCCCCAAATTCCAGTTCGTTTGACTAGTGTGAGTTCTCCGCAGCGTACACTTTCTTGGCCCTGGCGTGGTTTGAAGAGGTGGGCTTCAGCACAGTACAGTTGCTCATGCTCATGTGAGTTAGGAAGGATTGAGTAGTAGCTCATGTGTGGGGCAGGTGCAGTGTGTTGTAAAGCACCAGACAAAAGTTTTCTCCTTCATGTCCCTGGAGGACAGAGTCCAGAAAGTGCTCAGTACAGCATGCTTCACTGCCTTGGCTTAGCAGAGCTCTCCATCTGCATCACCCCTCGCACCTTAGCATCAGCACCCACAGCTGGCCTCAACTGCCTAGGTAGAGTTAATCCCAGAAGGAGCCTTAAAAAGGTCTACTTTTTAATCAAAAATTCAAGATGTGGGGCGCTGGTGGCGCAGTGGTTAGTGGCAAGATGTCAGTTTTCATGTTGAGATTATGATACAGAGCCAAGAGGCCTTTTTGTAGGTCTTGATAAGATTCATAAACCCACCAAATTAAGTTTTGTAGGGGGTGTTAATGAGCCATTGAGCCAATCCCACTGACAAATTGGAGCCATTTTGCACTCTTGTGCATCCCCCCCAAAGTGGTTGCTGAAAATCCTCTCTAAACCAAACTTTTAGTCAACCTAATGAAAGGCTTAGGACAGTAATGACAACAACTTATCAGACCTGTATCGTTTTTTGTACCAGAGGGTAAGCATTGTAATTTCTGCTGTAAAAACAGGCTTTGTTTAATGTAATGTGTACGTGACATCCGGGCTCTTAGAGCCAGCCTCTCGCGGACACTCTATGAACTGCAGGATTTTGCACATCTGCATTGGCTTCATTTTTCAACACCAGACATTACTGCTTGTTTAAGACCCATTGGATGACATTCTTGGTGGCTTGATGTCTCTGGTGATTCTGTATATACCGTTTATATCAATTCAATGAGAAGTAGCTGTAGTTGAACCAACCAAAGACACAGATTTTTCTTGTACTTGTTTTTTTTTTCCAAATTGTATCTCTGTGTGTGTGTTTGTGTGCCAGGTGTTTTACTACCAGGAGATGCCATACCCTCCCCAGCATGGGCGTTTTAAAGGCCATGCAGTATGGTCAGGAGATATTTTGAGACGCGATGCCTCCATCACCCTGCATGAGGTGCCTCCGACCTTTAATGGCACCTTCATCTGCCAGGTGCGCAACCGTCCAGATGTGCACGGCAGTAATGGAGAGATCGTCTTCAGAGTCGTCAACAAAGGTCAGACTGGCAGCTCTGAATGCTTGGAGGGCCTATACATTACCTAAAATAGAACTTACTCTACATAATTTTGAAGAATATAACACCAACAAACAGAATTATTAATCATTCAAATCAGGGCAAATTAAGAAATATTAGGGGTAATAGAATACTTCCTTGTGGTACACCACAAGTTATATTGACTGTGTTGGACATCTGTTTCTTAAAAAATAGTTGAATGCATGCAGCAGGAAGTGAAAGACTGAATGTCTTATCCCTGGTAAATAGTTATTTTATTCTGATGCTATCTATATTTTGTTATTTCAAATTACTCAACATACTGCACTTAGATTTCTCCCACTGTTATCTTTCATTTTGGTTCTTGTTGCTTCTAGTTTCCCTCTCTGAGATCGGCATCCTGGCAGCAGCCGTTGGAGGTGCCTGTGGTGTTATCCTCATCCTTCTTGGTATCTTTGTGGCAGTGAGGTTTTGCAAGAAAAAGCACATGGAAAACGACATTGAGATGCACACTGAGGAGTCGAAGAGGAAGGACCCGACTGTGTGGTGAGGGCCAGACATCTGGAGCTCCTCTGCTCCTTTTATTCTGGGGGCTGGTGTGGAAATTGGGGGCTGGTAGGGTACACTCTGCTGGAAAGGACAAATGAGATTTGAGGGTGGAAAGGCTCCTTTTTCTTCCATGTTTGCTCCTCCAATGTGAACCTTAAATATTATTGCATTTTATTTACTTCAGTATTAGAGATATTGTGCATCACATTTGCAGCTTATTATTTTACCAAATCTTTATTCACTTCTGTATGTTTCACCAATATTTGTCAATGATTGTAACACTTAGTTTTAGTCAGAGTTTTTAAGCTGTAAAGTAGGAGATGTAAATATGGAGGGATTTCGAACAAAAATGATGTCCTCAATTTACAGCAGCAGTTCTGACTGCATCTTTACATCATCAAACAGAATCATAATTGACTCTATCCCGATAAAAGCACATAGAGCACAAAATACATTATTCCGCTGCTGTGAATTGAGTTGTTTCCTATCTTTTGCTTTCTACTGAGGAGTTTAACTTTTAAAGCTTTGCAAGATAAGAGCAGATATACTTTTTCTGGGCAATACCTTCCCTTTTCTTCAAAAGCTGCTGTTTCACAGTATGATCCATCTTAGGCTGGGAATACATGTGAAGAATTTTCCAAACAGAGACAACTTAAACATGGAGAACCATGATGCAGTGGAGAGATGCTCATGAACTGATGTCTTGGTCGTCTTTGTCCACGGGTGGGAGCAGCTCATAAAATCTCTGTGGTACTCTTAACTGGGTTTCTTTCAAGCTGAGGTTCTGGTTATTGTATTCTTTAAGCCTCTCTCCCTGTTTATAATGGAATGGAAGTTGTTTTTTTTGTGAACCACTGTGGGCCCTTTGTTTGCTAGAGGTTTCAAGCCTCCAGGTATCCATGAGAAGCCTGTCTTACTGTCAACGTGTGTTTGCATCAGTTTACCTGAAGAGGCAGTTCATCTGACAGTAGTGATGAAGGAGAAAGAAGCGGAGAGTTCAGACGATGAAGAGTCTGAACCCAGCAGTGGGGATGATGAGGAAGAGGACGGCCTTGAAGATGACGATGATGATGATGATGATGACGATGATGACGATGATGACGATGATGACGATGATGGTGGCGATGATGGAGGTGGTTTATTAGACTAGATTGATTAAATGTGTTCTTCCATCTATAGCATCAGGGCTTATAAATCAACCTGTTATGTAAGTTATTGTACATTAAATGTATCATGGTTATTGAATAATACAGTAAATACATTACAGTAACATTGATTTACAATTTACTATTGCACTCTTAACACTTTTATTCTCCCGATGGACAGTAAAAAACAAACAAAAAAAGGCATCCAAATCAATGACACAGGACCAGTACTGTCATTTTTAATTAATGCATTGTTCCTTGTCAAAACTTAAAACCTACATTAACCATAACCCACCAGCAACCCGGCAGACAAAAGTTTGGTCAGGGTCACTGATGATAATGTTATGCTAGTAGAAGCAGCCTTCAGCTGCTAGCCTGAAGTAGAAGAGAGGTGCAAGCCACTACAGGTGTCTGTCATGTCTGCTAACTTCTTTCCTTTTCTCTTTTTAATTTTAAACTTTGAAGTTAATTCCAAACTAACACTGACTTAGGTGACATCCCTTATTTCCCATATTTCATGAACCTGCATCTCCAGCCTCAAGAGACTTGTGCAACGTATTCCCCTTTCATTTCTGTGTGTTTTTTGGATATGGATTGATGAATGTGTGTCTGGGTGATTGTGCATTACCACTGGAACTCTGCTTATTTATGCTAACTCACTGAATAACAGTTCAGCTGTTGTTAGGAACGTTTGCCTTAGAACAATGTTTGGAAAACTCGTTCATTTTTCGTGCCGAGTAAATGAACTATAGATTTTTTAAAGAGGGAAGCCAGTTTAACTTGGCTCATTGTTTAAAACACCACATACCAGCAGACAAGTGTCTAACCAACTATGTGATTGTTAGATTAATGCAACAGCAACTGTTTGTTTAAACTGTATAATCTTTTATTTTTTACATTTTTTAAAGAAATAGCTTCTAACTGTGTCTTAGTGTTTAACTTAATGAAAGTCCAACATGATATTTTTGAGTGATAATCAATGCTACGTGTTTACTACAATGGCAACATTGCACAAGTGATTATGTACATAGTGTAAGATATGCAGAACTTTCCACTGTTTAACTCAAGTCTTAAAATATCTTGTGAACAATTGTGGAATAAAGAGTTGTTTTTGAAACAGTAGGTCAGCTCTTGAGGTGAACAGTTTGAGTGGGTGAGTGTGAAATTCCAGTGATCAGCCACTCCTTTACGTGTCATACACAACAATGTGGCACACACTCCCTGGACTCAGAACAGGAAAGTAAAACTCAGTTTGTTCATTTCACTGCCAAAGTCAGTTTGTCTGACTGTGGATCCACCTCTGTCTAAAATGAGTGGATTTGAAATCATCTCACTGGGCCTTTTGTATTTTTGTAATAGTTTGAAATGTTTTAGCATTATTAACACCTACAACAATGAAAATGCAGCTTGCAATACTTTGGAATTGCTCAAATAAAAGTTGAAAATCTGAATGTGCTTTTAAGTATTGTGAAAAAAGTGTGATCATAAAAGGACTAATAGGCATGAAGGATGTTACTCCCCCTGGTGGTTTCATGAACTCACTTTTTTTATACTCCTTACATGAAAGTATTTTTTCTGTTGACTTCAACACAATCAATGCTTTCACTTCCTTTTCAAACAAACGAAGACTGAAGCAGTTTCTGAGTCAGGGTCATGTGGGGACCTGTCTGAGAAACAAGCTTGTGAAAAACCACAAGTAATTGTTGACTCTTGCTTTGAGTCCTAAAATGTATGTGTCTAATGGATAGAAAATGTGTTTTGTCTCACAGGTACTCTGTATAAATATAACAGTAATCTACCATTGTCTTTAAGGGTCTATGTTGGGTACAAAAACTTACACTTTAGGTCAGACTCATTAAAAGTCTATAAATTGTAACTTAACTTCTTCAAAGGTTTCATGATGGCCTGCAATAATAGTTAAGCATATTGCTTTATTTAACAAGAGATACATTTTGATAAAAACGCATCAAATGTGAGACCTATCAATGATAGCTAAATATTAGTAACCCTCTGACCCCCCCTGCCTACAGGTTTGCATATAGAGTTTTGTTTTGGCCGCCTGGTGTGTGTCACTCAAATGTTCCTCCTCTTTTAGGTCTGAAGGTCTACAGGGAAAAGTCTGAATCTTAAGTAGCCCCAATTTTTGCCTGTGTGTCTTGAAAAATGTTGGGTTTTCTGGGTTTTTCTATATTTAGGTGGTGAACAATCTGAAAGTTATTGTTAGCTTAGATGGTATCCTAATGAAGTAGTAGCCTACAAACTGGGGTTGTCTCATTAGCTGCTAAATGCTATTTGTTCTCTGCAGCCGCTTGCATGAGTGAGATATAATTATACATATATTCATTTAATCTAATTTCAGTCAGTTTAAGCTACAAAAAGCAGCAGTAAGATTGTATACTGAATGCAAGGTTAATAAACTTGGCCTGCAGTGCATTGGTTGTAGCCTACTGTTCATCTTGTACAACAAGAGAACAGAGAGGCCATGTTTGTAGTCTTCTTTTTTTTTTTCTCTCCAGACATTTCTCAAAAATACTGGTTTTAAAATGTTGAAAAAACATTCTTGAACTGATCTTGAATAAAAGGTGAGTAATGCAACACTTACAACCCCACCAGATTGTCTTTGTTACCCTGTGTCTGAGCTAAAGCATTAGGTCAGAAACCCCTGAACATCAAGACTGATCTTACTAACTGTAAAGTACAATAGTGTCTCTGTATATACAATTAACACAGATCAATATCTAGGAAAGAGTGCTGTTTCTTTTATACTCTGAAGTGCTTTTGCTCAGTATTTACTTGCAGTAGAGTATACTACTTTGAATGCAGCACTGTTACTTGTAATGGAGTACTTTACAGTGTAGTAATGGTGGCTTTGTAGTTTTTACTCAGAAGTGCTAGTAATAACATGAATATACAGTAAGAGCTGGGACACCATCTGTCATTGTCTATTTGCGTCGAAGCAGCACACAGTTTGCTGCAGTGCGAGCAAGTGACACCTATGGCCTCTTAAAGCGAAAATGCGCACTAATGGCTTCTTTGAATAATAATATGAGAAGCACACTAATGCAGATCTGTACACTAAATACTATGTGTTCATGTTAATGTAAGCAAGACCGTCCATGCGCACATTCGGTGCAGCTGCAGTTGTCCTGTAAGTCTGCAGCAGCACCCTGTCTTTCTGCAGCATAAGGCTCTTCTTCTTTTCTTTTTTTTTTCTTCTTGCAGTTTTGGAAGACTTCCCACCACTGCTGCATAGACACCCCGGTGGAGGGGCCTGGAGAGGAGAGCGGTGAGCATCCTGGACACATCATCTCTCAGTTCGAGCCCTATACCCATTAAAACACTCTGCACTCTGCTTACTGTCACACAACACCACGCGTCACCTACTTGTACATGGGCTTTAGATCAGTGTTTATTGCTAGTGGGAAGTTTTTTTCAGCCCATGCAAATTCTCATTGGACACAATTTCACATTGTCCATTCGAACACGGGATGGATTAAATTGGTAGATTATCATGTTAGACAGACGATCATTACGCCACATTTATCAGCTCTAAGTAATACATACTTTATACTTAATGCAAGAGTAAAACACATTTCACAGAATTAACACATGAAACTATTGTAAACTTGTCTGTAGCTAAAGAGCCTGCCTATATAGTCTGTAAATTTACATAATAAGCATTGCAATGCATAGTAGATCAGTGTTAATACTTGCGATTAAAAAAAGTACAGCTACTGCCACTGACGTTTATTCTGCCAGTAGTTTAAGAAATATCAGGTGCAGTCCTCCAAACTTTACCTTTTCTTCTTCTGCAAAAGAAAACAAAGCACTGTTCTTGAGGCAGAGAGAAAATGCCAGAAGTTTAAGTCCAAAACGGATGTGCACTTGTCTGCTTGTCCTCAGCAGTCGAACTGTACCTCGGCTCAGATGGCACTGTGTCACATGATCTCAGTTGCATCCTTCCCAGCACTCACAGTTCTCCTTCCCTCCAGCAGAAAACTCCAATTAACCTCTTCCAACCCTATTGAACTCAAAACAGCCCAACCACATTTACTGTAAAGTCAAGTCCCTGTCTATTTACAGTAATGGAGTTTGGCAGGTGTGTAGCCTTAAGTGTATTAATGCAATATCAGTCATGACTAAAATTGACTAATCAAATCTCAAGAGTCTGACTGTAGCACTTCCTCTGTTGCGTCCTGCAGTGAAGAGTGCAGACATGTGATGTCCGTCAGCCTTTGTTGACTGATGTGCATTTATGGGAAAAATGACTGCAGACATACTGCATCATATCATAACGCACTTTAGCTGCATCGCACTGATCACAAGAGAGGAATGGATGCAGCATGAGGCACATGATAGTTTGACCTTCAAGGCATTGAATGAGAAGACGGGACAAGCTTTAAAGTTGAGTTATAGTAAATAAAATCTGCACTTTTACCTAGTCAAAGCAGAATAGAGAGTTTTGATACCTGAAAGGTGACGTTATCCGTGAAACAACATGTCTATTTATGAATGGATCATTTTGAGTTGGGAGCATATGTCGGGGGCCGGCCCAGGGGCTGCATTACACAACCTCCTCCCTTCTCAAACCTGCACTGCAGAACTTCTCTCTGATCTCCACAAACCCTCTGACAAAAGTGCCTGAGTCTGCATACACGCCCCGAGTCAGGAGAGGGGGAGGAGGAAGAGGGTAAGGAAGGGAGAGGGGTTGTTGATGGAGGAGAGAAGGAGAATAAGAGGGATATGAGGAGGCAGGTGAGGGAGGGGATGTAGAGAGAGAGAGAGAGAGAGAGAGAGAGAGAGAGAGATGGCATGCAGCCAGCTGAGAGGACAGGGAAAAGTTGTGAGGTAGCCGGAGGGACGGGTAGGGAGAAGAGTCAGCATCAGCAGGGCTCTGCTGAGGAGGACTGAGAGCAGCCACTTTCCCCCTCCACTCTCTGTGTCTCTATCTGTGTCTCTGTTTGTCTCCCCCCCTCTCCTCTCTCCTCTAATTGTATCCTGTCCATGCTGCCGATGCAATGTGGCTGTCTCTGCAGTGAAAGTACTGGCTGCTGCTGGATTCTCCTTGAGTGAACCCTGACTGTGCGCAGTAAGCGTTTGCCGCTCCGCCTGCTGTCCTGTTCGCACTGACTCAGCTGTGCAGGCAGCCGGGCCGGCCTCTGAGGGGAAAACACCGGCTGCAGGAGCAGGTAGGAGACACACAACTAAAACTGTACTTAGCTTACAAATCATGTATCTTGTCTCAGCTTTACCTCTTTAACATTTATTAGAAAATAAACTGTATGCATGTGTAGAAACAACCATGTTGGAAACACACAATGTATCTGTCTTGAAATGTAACTTTTTCTGTGCTGCGTCTTTGTTTTCTATTAGCTAAATGTCTTATTCAAGATTGCAGTTGATTAACTTTTTGCCTATCTCTTTCTCCTTTTCCTTTGCCCTCTGTCTCACCTACAGTCCACAGGAGTGCTGAGGGGGCTGCCAGTCAGGCTCATCTCCCCCTCCCGGGACTATACAGTACTGTAGGTGCATCATTGGAACGTGCCTCCTTTTGGGTCAAACAATCCAGAAAGCAGCTCCAGATTGAATCAAGTCTCAGTTGAGGCTAAAGGATATTTTGCTGTCCGGAGCTCGGGCTGGATCCTGCTGCTGCTGCAGTCTTTTTTTTGGATCACATCTGGCGGTCATGGAGGTCCAGTGGGTTGGGGTTGAATCCCCGAGGCTGGGCCCTCCGCAAAGAGCCGTCGGCGTGATATTCTTAATCCTTCTTGGTAATGTCAATCTCTCACTCTACGTCACCTCATGCCACATCTGCAAAAGCATCTACTGCTGCCTTAATCATATTTTTTTAACTTTACAATTGTTTGATTTTTCCTTACTTCGTATGACTGGTGCCAACATAACATATATTAGTGCTGCTATGCGGAGCTATGATGCTGTAGCGTTTCCAAACCTGACATTGACCTTCATTTGCTTCTGACCTAGTTTGCTGTTTGATGCTTTTGTATTTAAGACATGTGTCAGCACATTGCTGATATACTAGTGACAGGACTAGATTGCAGTGATGAAGTATTTTTGGAGGTTGTGTGTTACATCTGATTAAAAAAAAATGTGCTAATGGTTCTCAAACAAAGAATGAACAAGGAAGAAAACGAAAGTTGGTTATCATGTCTATCCCCTAAATGTTGATGCAGTCTAACAGTTTTATATGCCTATTGATCAGTATTGCTATGTGTTGGGATCGTATGTCCATAAAAAGGAACTGTCAGCCGAATCAAGCGGCCCCTGTGGTGAAAAAGCTGTGTCAGACTGGGGCCACTTAAAGCAAGGCCCTGCCGTTTGCAGCATACTGTGCATCTGAAATAATAGACAGCAGCCACTCTCAGACCTGTGTCTAGATATGATATTGTTTATCTAAATAGATTGACACTTCGAATTACACACTGGTTGTAGCTATTGCCAGTTACAATGCTTCAAATATAGAGTTTCGAGTTTGAATACTGGATTTTGTTTTCCTGAGACAACATCAAATCAGGTATCACCAATAAAGTGATTGATTTTACCTCTGCAAAGAAGTGCAGAGATAATCATCATCATCACTTGTAAACAGTAAGTCACAGATGACACTGGTAGAGAAGTTGGCTCTCATGCATTTAAAGCCATTATCTCATCAACGTTTAGCCTAATATGAGCAGGATACATTTCATTTGTTAGTCTATGTATGAATCTATTTCTCACTTAATGTACTTCCCTATTTGGATTTTCTTAACCCACCTGCTTATAGGTGTGGAGCAACAGTGCAGCACACAGGCATTAAAACGTTAAACCTCTATGACATCATAGCCTGTGACATTATGCAGGAACTGCAGACTTTAAAACTGCCTTCAGTTCAATGCTAAATATTAACCTCTGCTTGATCTCTACTTCCACATTTGCCAGCATAAACAAATGTATCAGTGGAATTTTGTTACCAGGAACACAACTTAATGTAGTCTCGTTAAAGATATGTATTGCTCATAGTTGTTGTCTTTGCAATTAAGAGCATTTTAGCCTCTTTTAACAAAAACTGCATGGTAAGATTACTTAAATTAATTAATAAATTAAAATGCAGGCGCTACGGTAAAAGAGTAAATATTGAAAGCATCTTAGCATTATCCTTTTTACATCATATTCATTTTCCATTGTGTAATGCATTATGTGTGGTTTTCAAGTGACAACCTCCGATGTTGAAAAATGAAGCCAATGCGGAAGTGCAAAAAACTGTAGTTCCTCCAGTGTCCACTATAATGGCAGTTTTGGCAGCAGAAATTAACATGTTTACAGCCTGGTCCAAAAAACCATTTAGGCCTGATTAGTCAAAGCCTTAGAACACACTGTGCAGGTTTTTTGTTGTTGTAACTCACTGTTTTGATTTGATGAAGGATATGAGTTCTGCATAATTAGGGCAGTGACTGATCTGACTGCAAGCGGCTGCATTGTAGTTTCTCAGGAGGCTTAAGGCCTAAGCTAAGCTCCAGCTCTTTGGCTTTTGTTAGGTTGAACAGAATTTAGATAAAATCAGCACTTTAAATATGGCGTCCACCATGGATCAATGGGTGACGACATTGAGGCTCCGTCCATGGTTATGTACAGTCTATGGGTGGTTTAAAAACTTTATAAGCAGTGAACAGTTTGTTTTATTTTGGTTTGCGTTGATGTGTATCTTTTGGAATTTGTTTCTCCAAAGAATTTAAGTATACAGAAAGATATGGAGAGAAAGAGCAGGTGCCTGGTAGTGCACTGAAAAGGGGTTTATAAATGTGATTTAAGGATCTCTGGCAAATCTGCTGCAGTGATCATTGATCGTTACATTTTGGCCTCCACTAAAGATTGTAGGAAAGAAAGTTCTGAATGTTTTTTTGTTGTTTCTCAACCATTCAGAGCTGGTCCTGTTCTCATTTGCAGTAGTATGTGTCGCCCCACACATCTGACCACTAGTGAATAAGATACATTTTTGTCCCTTTTAAACCTAACCTAAACCCCCTTTGTTAAAGCTTCGAATTAGTGTTGTTTGAAATTCTTCATCTGATGTCAGCTTTTTTTTTTTACATAACAGATGTTGGTTTTTATTGTGCTCTAGACAGCTATTCGTCAATCAGATAATGCAGTCAATCAAATTGCAATAGAGAATTTCCAAATAATGTGTCAGATTTATGTAGCAGATAAATAACAAGATGATGTTCTAACAGCAGAACGTCCTGCTCGGTATGTTTCAAGTGATGTTTGGTTGGTTGACCTTCTTTCATGTTCAACATCTCCATCAGAAAATACAAAAAAAAATGAGCCAGGCTTTAGTGTTTATATATTTAGCATATACCACTTTAAATTGGGGAGCACATATTCCTGTATTCATGAAAGCGCTATTGTTTTAAGGTGACTTATGTAGGTTAGAAACTGGAGCATTACTGGTCTACTTTTTTTTACTGAAGCACTAAAACTTTACATTGCAAAACAAAACTTGAATTGGTAACCACAGAGACAACGGACAGGAGGCCAATGATATTTGTGTGTTGTGGCATGACTATCAAGGATCATGATATGAGAAAAAAGGTTGTCATTAATTGCTCTGTTTTTTTGTTCTTGTTCTTTTGTTAGCAGGTTTAATAACAACAGTGATAGAAACATTATATTTTGTTGAAAACAAAGCCTTCAAAGAGGCGATGCACAGAGGGAACACAGAGAGATATTGACTGATGGAAAGAATTTGACTTACTAACATTTTGTGAAAGGTTGCTTAAAAAGCCGGAGTGACACGGAGTGCATGCAGAATGAGGCTGGAAGGGTGATGCTGTTGCTCTCTCGTCACCGTTTTTGCAAGCTCACTGTGCTGCAATGGACCAGCTGAGGAACAGATCGGACAGAGAGAGTTTGGGGGGGAAAAGCACAAATTGTGTGAGAGAATAAATCTATAACTTAATGCACATATTGTCCTCCTATGCCTTGTTTCACCTAACGTGCTGTTTTAAGCTATATTGTTTCTATTTGCTGCAGTGGTGCCTGTCAGATGTTGACCTTGACCACGTTGTGAGAACACAGCGTGCACAAAAGAGAGAAGCAAAATCAAACGAATGTACCACACTGTGCAGATTTTTTTTTTTTTTTTTTTACTGCTGCTACTGCAACCATTCATCATTTTCACATGTCAGTTTTTTCCTCTCTATAACCTCTGCATCTGTGTAATATAGCTCTGCTTCGTGCAAGCAGTTTCCACCTCACACACTAGATGGAAGCATTAAGCACAAAGTGTTTAAGTGCTGTAAAAGAGGGAGGGACAAGAAATACAGTGCAGTCTGTCCTTCACTTGCTGCCATCTGTCTGTCTGTCTGTCTGTCTGTGGTCCCTGGTATACAGTTACAGTCTCCACATAGGGCACAGCAGATTTCATCCTCTGTTATTCACAGTAATGTCATAGCAAGGACTTTAAGGTACCATGTTACTAAGGGTTTGACGATAGTATTCTGAATATCATGGAGATGTCACCTGATGGTCAGTAGGAGCTGTGGTTGATTGCTAAACTCATACATTATTGAGCTTATTATGCTGCAATACTGAGCCACTTTATGGGGCTGTACTACATTTTATACTTTTATCATTATTTATTTCTTCTTAAATTTGTATACCACTTAATTTTAGAACATATCTTTTTGTAACTACATCTTGGTTCAGAAAATCATTTTAATCAGAGTGACTTTTAGGGAGGCTTATGCGTGCCTCAGTGAAAGGACTGACTCTAGTCGTAAAGTCCCTTGTTTTCGTTTGACATTAAGTTAAAGTGACTACAAGTAAAGCAAACAATGATGATTGGGCACAAGCGGCAACCTCTGGTGTTGAAAAACGAAGCATTGCAGAAGTGCAAAAAACTGCATTTTATCTAGTTTCCACTTGAAGCTGGCTCACGTACACACCACATACAAAAATGTCTCTTTTTTCATTAAAAATGAACGTGTTTACAGCCAGGTACAAAAAAATGATTTTGGTCTGATTAGTTATTGTCCTCATGGGCACACAGTGGTATAGTGCAGGGTATACGCAGGTATACAGAGTAGGGTATACCCACTTCTTAATCCCCTGGGATTCACACCATTGATTGATTGACAATATTATGTAGTGTGCTTTTCCTAGGACGATAACGGGATGACCCTCCTTTCTCTGTCTAATTGGCTGGTAAACATTTACTAAATATGCAAGAGCAGTCGTACATGTCACAGAGGCTGTTTAACCTCTGCAGGACGGGACACACAATAAACATTTGGAGTAAAAAGCAAGAGTATACCCACTTCTTCAAGCACACACTGAATTTTGTATTAATGCATCTGTTTGGATTTTATGAACAATACAAGTTATCTATAGTTAGGAGTGAGACTGACCTAACTGACAGGTGGGCAGCTACAGTGTAGCGGTTTGTCAGGAGGCTTAAAACCTGCCTCAGCTTCAGCTCTTTGCCTGTCATTAGGGTTGTCTCAAAGTTGCGCTGCAACAGGATTTCCAGCATGGCGACCACCGTTGATGAGCCGCCAGTGTCCCATGCAGTCATCTATGGATGACGTCACACTTTTTTCTTATCTTTGAACGAATGTTTTGTGAGCGATAGCGATTGACAGAAAGTGACAGTGAGGGATATTTCACTGCCACTGCAATAATGTCAACATCTTTATTAAAAGGAATCAGTGATGAATCATCCTCATGCAGGAATCTGCCTAATGTTATGCACCATCATGATGATACAAAAAATAAAAAACTGTCAATATTTAAGAGCACATATACTTTTAGGTGGGGGTTAATCCTTATTAAGGGGAGCCAAACTACCCTGGCTCCCTGTAGTTTGGTGATTTAAAATTGTTTTCTAAAAATTACCCCAAAAAAGTTTTAAACAGTGATTTTAAGAAATGCAGTTATGAAGAGATATTGTTTCCAGTCTACTGGAAACAGCCCACTTTGGATTTAGAGATCTGTTTATGGACAATTTTGGAAGTGGTATCAATATCCTCATCCAAATCAGGGCGAGTAAGCAGATACAGTATGTGCATATTAAATTATTGAACTATTATTTTAAGGCTGACTGACTTGTACTCACTCACCAAGATGCTGTAATGTAAAGTCTTATCATTTTGTGTCTCTTTTCCCTTCTCCTCAGGCGTGTGGTCTGCTCAGGCGCTTGAGATGTCTGTGGGGAAGATTAACCAACTGGAGGCGGTGAATGGCAGCACGGTCTTGCTGCCCTGCACATATGCCAGCTGTATCGGAATTAAGAACCTCTACTTCAACTGGCAATTCAACAACAACGGTACCATGCAGAAGGCAAGAACATCGTAATAAAAAATGATTCATCTTCAAGTTTTGGTCACGTGATAGTTTTGAATGCTTGACAGCTTGTTCATCTGGTCAGGTGTGTGAATCGGTGATTAAGGATGAGGGCGTGGTGCCAGATGTGACAATATTTCGAGAGCGGGTGGAGTTTATTGGGATGAATAATCACAACAATGTCTCCATCCTGCTGTGGAACATCACCTTCGAGGATGGTGGCAAGTACACTTGTTATGGAAGCAACCCCAAAGAGAAGGGCAGGAACCATAGCGCCATCTTCACCCTGATCGTGGTGGACGAGTGTGAGTGCCTACTTTTAAATCTATACTTTTCATGTGTGCTGATATGTGAGAGGGAGGTAAGATTTATTTGTCATTTAATTTAAGACCTATTTGATAAGGGTCTCAAGGTGAAATGGTAGCTAGGTGTTTATATGCAGGAGACATAGGCTTGTAGGAGACATAGGAGACAAACCCATTATTCCTCAGCCTGTTTTGGGGACATAAATATGCAGACTTATTGTCAAAACTGCCCAATGTGATGACAACTTTACCATCATGAATCATAAATGTGGTACAACTCATTTGGGCTTGCTTTGCTTATGGGAATACTGAATAGAAACTAATAAACACATTCCTAATAAACTAAACACTGACTATTGTTTAGACAGGATTTAAATCTGGTGACAGTTAAAGCTAGGAAAAGCACTCAAACTCACTCCACTAATGCATGTCCACAGGTCCTGTTTGTGCATGTATGTGTATTTGTGTGCGAAGCATCTCTCTCAATAACAGTATAAACCAGAATTTCCCTGAGTCCCTTACTGCCATTTGTGATGTCACATTGTAAAGTGTTTTTTGAATACTATGTGACCTTTAATAATAATTTGGCTCTGTGTTTTACCAGTATCACACCCTCTCAGACTGAGGTACATTTTAAACATGAAGAAGCAAAGATAATAGATAGTTTGTAACTCCGTCCAGAAGCATTTAACATCATTAAATCAAGAAATTAATGTGCTCAACTGAAAAACTGAAGCCCATCTTGCACCTGGGCTCCCACTAAACCTTGTTTTGAGTTTAGTTAAGAGATTGGTTTTTATCTGGCTTTAGTTGTAAGTACATTTGAGTATCTTCTACTAGCATTAAAAGTTTATGGAGTGTTTCCTCATGATCTTACCTCAAGGGGGTGAAAAGAATTAGTCTGAGGATAGAATCCTTGTGAAACTTCATGAATAACTTGGGCGCACAACTTTAATGTGTACAAAATGTAATAGACCTTGTACACAACCAGCTTTAAATCACCTCACTGCAGTTATTTTAATGTCACAAGAGTACTAATCTATAAAACAGGGTGTGATAGTCAATTGTGTTAAGCTCAAGTTAAGTTCTCTTTATTGTAATTTCAACCATACACAAAGTACACAGTGAGACAACATTTTGCACCTCCAGAACAAAAAGAGGTAGGAATATAAGATTAAATGCAATGACAAGAAGGTGGTTATAAATATTTAAATTAGTAAACAAAGCAAAGTGGATCGAAAAACAGTTAAAACAGTAACAACAATTTTAAAGTGACTAAAACATGTAAAGTGGCAAAACAAATAAAGTGGCAAAACAAATAAAGTGGCAATGCTAAAGTGACAGTGGCAGAGGTCGTTTTTTTAAAATGCAGACCAGGGCTTAAATTGCTTCGGATCCTAACTGAACAAGATCCGGCACCTACCATATTGGGAACTATTTGATTGGACCTTTGGCTGTGAGGTTTGCTGTCTGTTGAAGTGTAAAATGTTCTGAAGTCGATGCGAGCTGCTGTTAATACTAAAAGTATTACTAAAAAGTGTTTATAATCCAGGGTTTTCAAATTAATTAATTAAATATTAATTTGCGCAGCACATAGAATGACTTTATGATATAGAATGACATTTATCAACATCAGAGAGAGTGCGACAGAGACAGAAGCATGTCGTGATTCTACGCACTTCTCTCCAGTTGATTTTGAGCCATTATTGTGAAAGCTCCGGGGGGCCAGAGGCTCTGAGTATTTTTGATGTATTCAGTGACTTTTTTGTCTCCTCCTGCCACGCCTGAACAGCACTCTCTCTGTGCTCTGGGACCTCAGGGTTTACAAATTAAGTACTGATGCAGACTATCATCAACTGATACTGATACATATGTATGAAAGGCAGGTAGTATATACAGTATAAACAGTATACATTTATTATATATAGTGCAAAAGCCAGTCACTGTGTGTTAAGGAGTTTAATGGCTTAGGGGGAAGAAGCTATTACACAGTCTGGTAGTGAGGGCCCGGATGCTCAGTACCTTTTTCCAGACGGCAAGTGAGTAAAAAGTTTGTGTGAGGGGAAGGAGAGGTCAGCAACAATCCTGTTGGCTCTGCTGAGGTGGCTTAAGTGGTAAGCAGTTCTCTCTATCCTCTGTAAGGTTTTGTGGTCTGTGGTGATGCAGTTTCAGAACCGGGAAGTGATACAGCTGCTCAGGATGCTCTTTACGGTCCCTCTTTAAATATGTGGTGATGATGGGGGGTGGGAGGCGTACCTTCTAAAGCCTATGAAGGCGGTATTTGCGCTGCTGTCTTCTTTTGGTGCAGTGCAGCACAGTCGTGAGTCAGCAAGTTGAACAGTAACGGGCCGAGCACACAGCCCTGAGGGGTACCGGTGTTCTGAGTGGTGGTGTTAAAGGTGATTTCCCGATAGGGACTGACTGAGGCCTCCAAGTTGGAAAGTCAAGCACCCTGTTGCAGGGGTAGGTACAGTATTCAGGCCTAGCATGTTCAACTCGGTCAGTTGCTGGGGAATGATGGTGTCGAATGCTGAACTGAAGTCGATCACTTAATGATTATTGGTGTCAGTGCAGCAGGACACAGAGGAGACAGGAATAGAGGTGGACATCAGACACATAGGAACAAATGCACTGCTCAGAGAGATGTTGTAGATGTCAGTGAGTATATCTGCTGGTCTGCGCATCCTCTGAGCACTCTGCCAGGAATGTTGTTGGGTCCTGCAGTTTTAAGTGGGTTCACTTTTTGCAGAATCTTCTGCAAGCGTCTGTAGTCAGACACAGAACCTGGTCATTTGAGGAGGGAGTGGACTTCCTTGCTGGCACATTGTCAGGCAAAGAAGTTGTTCAGTGCATTGGGGAGAGAGGGAGGGAGTGGACTTCCTTGCTGGCACATTGTCAGGCAAAGAAGTTGTTCAGTGCATCGGGGAGAGAGGCATCGTTGTCACAGGCGGTTGGCAGCATTCAAATCTAACTGGGCATAACCAGTCTAAGTAGTGAGAACTCCACTCTCCAAAGTATTTTTGAGATTATTTGTAACTTTCGAGAGCTATTTCAGGGCTTTGGAGAAAATACTAATTTAAACCTTCACTATGATAAAGGAACCAACTTGTTCCTCATGTTAAAAATAATTGTGATACTTAAATTGTTATTTTCACCTTACAATGTTTTCTCTGATATCTTGTTAATGTCAACAGTGAGGGTGGTGGACAACACGCTGGCCACTATGATAGCCTCAGCTGTGGGCGGAGCCATTGCACTGTTAATGGGATTCATGCTGCTTAAGAACTTCACTCTATTTGTTCTTTCCAAACTTGAAGAGAAAAAGTGAGTTTACAACCCCCTGTATATTTATATTATATTCATATCAGCAGTATAACCATTTCACACTGTTTCATCAGAGTACATCGTTTGGCTAGCTAAGTTACTGTACATGCTGAGGTAGATTTGAGGTGTTCCTTTGAGCTTTTATGCATGAACCGTTATAATTCTCTTCTTTTTTTCACCCCCTAATTGCAGTAAGGAGTGCCTTGTAACTTCATCAGGGATCGACAACACAGAAAACGGCCTCTCAGGATCCAAAGCTGATTCAAAACCGACACCAAAAAAGAAATGAGAAAGTGCATGTGAACACAAACATATGGGTACTCGTATTTATATACCTTCTTTGCATATATTTGTATATGCACATGTCTTTGCACACATGTCCAATCATTATGTTCATGTTGAGGTACTCAAATCTCTGCCTGGCTGTGGCCTTCAAAGAAAATGAATATACATGTACACATAACTGTGCAGATGATATACAACTGAAGAATGTGCAAATAATGAGTTCACTGATAATGATTTAAAATATGCATACAAATGTGGAAGAAAGTATAATTGCACCTGCCAGAGACACTTCAGATTGTCATTTTTCAGTGTGTTTGTCTTCTATATTTACATCTCTTTTCCCAAATGTACACTGTCTTAGTGTTTCAGCGAGCTCACTATACCTTAAACATGCGAAAGAAGGAGGAGATTTTAATTATTGGCGGATATCTGGTAAATCTAATTATTATTATTTCTACTGGAACAGTCGCAATCTGATGCATTCTTAAAGCAAGACAAACAAACTGAATGTGTACTGGTATTTATGGTTTTGTGTTGACCATTAGATATTTGTCAAATACCACATTGGTATTACACCCAATAAGGTACAGAAAGGCCTTAAAAAGAGCATTTAGAGTACTTGGGGGCTGCTTGTACTGCTTGAAAATGAGTTTTAATTTTAGGGGTTATACTGTGAGTATAAATTCAGTGAAAGCATTCATGTTTGAGATCAGTTCAAGCTATGAGTCCCTAGTAGATGGTTTCTATTTAAACTCAATATATTAAAATCCCATTATGTGCACATTTTTGTAAATAATGAGGATGTTTGTACAAATTTGTGTGTACATGTTATTCCCAACAATGTGTTACGTAGTTGTATATCATGTTTGCATGGTCGCACCCTTTTTCAAGTTATTTGCAGCCCTTGGTATGTCAGTGATTCTCTGCGGCCACAGCCAGAGTACATAACAAATTGACTGTTTTCCATTCAAAGGGTAAACAAAAACAATGTTTTTAAGTGCTTGAAACAGGGATTAATGCAATGTAGTTACAGCTGGGCTGAATACCTTTTCAGAAGAAGCAAAGTAACCCTTCAGTTATAGAACCAACTCAATCAAATTGAGTTGTTGAATTTACAGTGTTGTCCAATCATTTCAAACAGTCCTATATCACAAGTACTGGTCGACTTGTAACTACTTTCCACAGAACAGCTACTGTTTTTGTCTTAATTATTCCAACAATTTTTAAACAAACTGAATTTGAAAAAATGAATAAAAAGGATTGCTTACAACAGTGGTTCTCAACTGGTCTAGCCTCAGGACCCGCCAACACCTCCTTGATGAAAAATCTTGACCCAAAGTTTCTAAAATTTTCAACCTCTCAGATTTATTTAATGAAAAATAGGTTTGGACCTCAAATGGAACAAAATGTGACAAACATGTTTTAAATGTGCATCATGTAATTTAGTGCATCAATCATTTAAACAGTTTTTATTCCAGGCACAAATTCATGACCCACTGAAAACCGCTTTGCGACCCATATTTGTGTCCCAATCCACCAGTTGAGAACCACAGATTTAAAGAATACAAGTGTATAAGGATTCAGCCCAGCTTTTCATGCTGTATCTTCTCTTTGCTTGATATAAACACAGGTGCCTGTTAGTGCTTCTCTGCTCCTCTGCCAGCGTGGACGACTACATACTGCAGAACAGTTTGCAAAACTCAGCAAACAGTAATAACCCAACAAGCTTCTCAGCTCAAATGATAGACGATCCCCTGGAACTTGCCCCCTAAACTCCCCCCTTAGAAAATGTATGACCCTCAGATGATGCTGCTTTTAAGACAAATAACCAACGCATTTAAAGCATGTGCTACATGGGATGGGACACACTTTAGACACAATGCTTGAAAAAAAGAAAAACACTTTTTGGGGAAAAATAAATATGTCTTGATACTAACACTGGTAGTGTCAGCTCAGAGGTCAACTGTAAATTCCATTTCTATACCATACTAATTTCATCGTGCTAACCCTGGCTTATGTTTAGCACTATTTAGTGATGCAGCCCCAGATACTGTTAGCCTGGATCAGACTCAACATGTTCCCTTTGCTTAGTACGTGCCTGTTGATGTAAATGGCTAACATAGGACAAATATTCATTCACCCAGTCTTGCAATAAAAATCTTTTCCAGCTGCCATGCAGTGAAACGATAAACCTGGTGGACCTGCCCATGCATACAGTAGGTGACACATAAGAATGGGATTGGGCCTCAGGCAGCAGGCTGAGTATGGGGGCTGTTGTTCAACTTTAACTCCATCCAAGCTGGCAATAAGACAGATAAGATAAGTGATACTGTCAGTGGATCCCACTGACTGAAAGTGCCAAACAGGAAGCAGCTGTGCTGGGTATCACAAAAAGATGATTGTATCTGCACCAAACTCAAATAGTGAAATACAAATTCACCTGTTTTACAAAATACAACTGTTGCACATTCAAGCCTCTGAATGTCTGGCTTTAAAAAGAAATACCTCTGGAGAGTTGTACAGGTGTAAACACTGTGTAAAGCTGTATAAACGTACCTCTCAGTTCCTGCAGGTGTTGAATGAGTGCTATGTACAGTGAAGTATGAATTTCTGCTAATTTTCTGAAGTCTTTGTTGTTAATGTTAATAATAATGTGCCTCTGCATTTAAGTGACTTTAGTCTTTAGTCGCTGGCTTAAAGCAATACCATAGAGGACGTTTGTTGGGCACTTTAAACAGATGTTTATTTTTGTGAATGTATAATCCAAAGCAGTGTAGGTTGATGAGAAAAAACCAAAATGCTAACATGGAGGTTTGATGGAGTGTTTTGGTTTGAAAGGTCACAGGAAAAGGATAGTATTTGTTTCTGAATGTGATGCGAGTCTTGTTGAAACATAATTATAAAGTGGGGCATTCGTATTAAATCAATTATTAACTATTTTTTTCATTGTTGCAGTGAGTCAGGCGAGAATTTGATACCAATCAATCTCTGTCTTCCTGTAAACAAAGCTTAGCTTAGCTTAGCTTAAAGACTGGAACAGCTTGCCTAGCTCTATCTAAGATCTACCTTAAGGTGTTGGTATATCAAATATTTATTTGCCTCTTTTGGGTAAAGCTGGGGTAGTATACTTCCCTTGGCTACCAGTATTTATGCTAAGCTAGGCTAACTGTTTTCTAGCCCCAGCTCCAAATTAAATAAATTAGAGTTTTCTTCTTCTCATTCAAATCTCAGCAAAAGAGAAATTTAAATTCCTTTCAGAAAAATTTGGAAATATTTCTTTGGGAAAAATCAATAGACAATAAATTCAGTTTTAAGAAGAATGACAGAGGACAAACATTTCTGAAAATGATGTGATACATAGAAATTATTGATATATTTGAATGACTGAAGACCATGAACGTTAATGATAGCCTATATGTTTAGTTTGATTTCAAAATGTCTGAGTGTACAGGGGTTGATCCCTGTCAGTTGTGGAATAATAAGACCTGATTTGTCTGGTTTACCATCTAATTGTTTCAATGAACTGAGAAAATGAAGCTTTTGGAGAAAGACCGGATTGTTTCAGCAAGGGCCTTATGATGAAAAGCAACTCTATGCAAACAACAGAAGTGAATCCTCTGACAGTGTTTCATACTGCACCTTTGAGTTTCCACTGTGACAGTTCTGTGAGCAATACAACAGTGCTGGATCAGGGAGGTCTGATGATGGGATGCAGGTTGAATGGGGAACATTCAGAGGGGAGCATGGACTGGACTGGAGCCCCCCGTACTCAACCAGACCCTGCAGAGTGTTAAGACTCACAAAGTCATTCTCCACTGCTGCTCTCTGCACACAAATATACAGCTATAAAGCTCTGGCTCGCTCTCAAATGATGTCTCCGTTTTCAACCCCTCATCTGTGCACATCAGCTCTTGATCTCTTTAATATAGACACATGAAATCTAATAAAGTTTTAAATAAAACAGTTGTGCTGTGCTATTTGTATCTATAGGATGACTTTTTACTGAACTTCCTCTTGTGCAGAGGGAGAAGAGCAGTGAACCTTGAAGAGAGAAAATTGTATATATGTTTAATATATGTTAGAAAAATATTAAGTAAACACACAAAGTGCTCTCAAGGGTAAATGCACAAACACACATGTGCAACACAGCGCCTCTCTTAATCAATCAGGCCAGCTGGGAGGTCTATGATACATGTAAACGGAGCAGGAGTTTACATTGTCTCTGTGAAGGCCTGCTGACAAAGCATTGCCATTATAATGTGAGAAAAGTACAACTGTATTTTTCAGGAAAATAACACCTAAAGACTCAGATGCATGGAGGGGTAATTATTAAAAAGTCTTTATTTCATCAGGGATACAGACTCGTAAAAACACAACATGTTTCAGCCAAATGCTAATACTGTTCTGTCAGAACCATGAACTGCCAAACCAAATAGATTTTTCCAGTTGAGTTATTTGGGGTTGTTTAAAGTGGAATGCACCATGTATGATAGAGGAAGAGGGGTGTTATAGCTTTGTGAAATAAGAAGTGCTCAAATTGCATTTTTGGGGCATTTACCTCAAATGTGTTTTGATGTGTTTTGTAACTCTTTGCAGATGTGTGCATATTTTGCAGGGTGGGTTTTTGCCACTGGTTTAATAATTGATAACTAGTGTTATTGTCTATTGGTACCATCCACATACTATAACAGATGATACTGGAGGTCCAGCAATTACTTGTTGTTCTGGTACTTTGGTTATGGTTGTTGTTAGTACCTGTTCAAAGGAAGTGTGCAGAGCTGCAAGGGCCCAAAGTGGCATTGGGTAGATCCTTTTTATTCTTTCTTTCTTTCTTTTTTTTAAACTGTCTACACTTTTTTATGTTTTTTTGGGTGTATACTTTTTCCTCATGTTCTTTTTGCCAGGTCTGTTCAATACAAATTGCTGCATGGTAAAAAAAAAACATATTCACTCATTTTCTTTTTGTGCCTTTACCACTGAGCCATCCTTAAATCTGAAAGACTGATCGTCATTGATGCCAGGATATCCTACTGAACTGGGTCGCATTCCACAGTATGCAAATCAGTGTGATATTTGACCTTCTGACCCACAATCCTGAGTACAATGGAAAATACATCACATCAACAAAGCACCCAGGCAGCGCCAACTGAGCCACCAAGGACTGGGATGGATGAATGCATTGTAAGTATTACAGTTCATGATGCAGAATTATGGCTAAGTAGTATTTCCCTGTTTATGCTGTATGTACAGAGCATACTTTGTTTGTGCAGCTTCAGTGTCCCAGTGGGAAATTTGCCTTGGACTTCACAGTGCTCTGATGCAGAAATAACAAAATATCAAAGTACATTTATTCATCAAAATAAACTGAAGTACTTTTTGTGACCCTTTAGACATTTTGATGTCATCAATTTTTATCTCAGCTTGGTCCTAAATACCACAAACTTCTAATGGAAAACTTGAGCCTGAATAAAGCTTGACAGACATCGGTTTTTGCCAGAGCTGGATACAGACTTTTTTTGACTAGGATGGCCCAACTGGGACACTGACTAATGTAAGGGTGGCATGAATTTTGTGTGCAACGGACACAAATGAAAAACCTTGTAGCTCCAACTACATAACTGCTCACAGTAGTGTACCTAAAACATCTTATATTCCTGTTTTTCTGTTGCTTTTTACTTTAAAATAGAAAATCATAGATTAGGTTAGGACTTTGGTTTGGCCCCTAGGTGGCCAATTAGATTTTTCTGCCCCTGGTTTTGTATGCTAGGAAGACAGAATTGCCAAAAAAAACTGCAGTCCTTCTTCTGGCCAGCAGGGGGCGTCACTGTTTTCAATTCTGAAGTCTCTTTCACACATGCAATGAACTCCTGAACTTGTCCAGACATATCCCTAAAAGAGCTGCATTAAAAAACAGGTTTTTTAAAAGTTGACGTGGAAATTAAATTAACTTTACCTTGCAAGCCCCTTAGCCAAAAATATGGCTGAAAATTGCATTCCACTTTTATTTTAATATTGTTTATGCAAATACATGTTGTATTAATATCAGTGCCAAAACAGTCATCATTACAGACAAGTTCTTCTCCCCCTGCATTGTTTCTTGGCTCGACCACTCATTTAACCAAATGGAATGTTTGGAGGAGTTGACAATGCTGCTGCCAATCTCCGGCTGTATGCAACAAGTGTGAAAGGACAAATCAAGGACAATTTCCAGAGGTTACAGCTTGCCTGTATGAAAAGTATAATGACATGATATCTTAATTAAAAATCTCAAAATTACTTGCTCTTGATTGCTTGCTCCTTGCTTCCATGCTCCTTATTATGCATAACTGTAAGCCCTAATTTAATAGGGTTAAATTATTTCATTTACATCAAATACTGTGCCAGAGGAATCTCATCATAAAGCCATGGCTTCCTGCATTATGAAACCATCATAACTACATCTCCAGTTCCTCAACGTGGCCACATCTCTTCCACAAGGACATATAATACAATATAATATACAGTAAATCACTGTGCAGGAATGGCTTTAAAGTTGCTTCGCTTGTATTTCAAGGTCTGGCCAGCAGATGTCAGCAGTGACCTGTGTTGTGTGTGTGTGTGTGTGTGTTGTGAACGGTTTGAACCTTTTCTCGGATCACATCGTCGCGGACCCTGAAGGCAGCTCTGCTGAGAAAAGAGAGAAGGTGCTGCTGACCTTTTCTTCAAGTTATTTAAGTTTAAAGACGACCACATTTTCAAATACCACGTCTACATTTTTACAACGTAATATTTATTGGTAGCTCTTAAGGCCTCAGGCTGATGTTTAGGTTCTGCCTACTTTAACGTCTGCAGAATGTTTAAACTTTCATTCACGTGACTCTATTTAACATTTAGAACAAGTTGATGTAAGTTTATGGCATGCAAATTAGAAAGCTATTAAGTATTAGTCGATACGTTTCATTTAGATTATAGACCTGGTTAATGAATTCTACTCAAAAAACAATTAGACATGTCTAATGTCATGATTTTGTTCATTTACTGACTTCACACATCATCTTGTTGTGAAGTGCTGGTGTTGGTATAAGTGAACAAAAATATAATGCAACGCCTTTAACAAATTCCATAAACGACAGCAGTATCAAATTCACTCCAAAACATCCTGTTATCTCTGCCATTATTTTGTATAGGGAGTTTCTCAGTAGCCTAAGACATTTTTTTTTTTTTAACTCTAAATATCTTCATGAAATCCTTCGAATACGGTCTTGTTTATCTTTATGCTGTTTATTTGCATGGAGGTTGTGCGGCTGTCGCTGCAGGAAATCCTCTTCCAGATCCACACCAGTATCCACTGTGACTTTTAATATTCTATGAACTGGGAGTGTCCTCCTCCTAATTTATGCTTATTATGCAGGAGAGCTGTTCACGAAGATGGCAGGGTAAATAAGAGAGAAATAGCGATGTATAAAGTTGTTCCTTATTTTTTTACAAGATTCACTTTAACTGCTTTGATTTACCTGCCGTGGTTTTACCTGCTGTGTGGAAGAGTCATAACCCACACCCCACTACTCTTTCTCTCCCCTCCTCTATCTGCAGTGCATTTCTGTGCGCAAATGTCTACGCACGTTTCATGGCTCCCAAAGACAAAGAAAAACAGTCATTAGTCTGTGATACAGCTCCGCATCCCTCTTTTAAATATCCAAACTCTCAAGAAACGACCTTAATTCATTTTTAGAGTTTTCTCAGCAGTCTGAGCGGCTTTTGTAGATCCAGATTACGCAGAGAAACGCGGTCATCAGGGGCGCACAGGTGGGAGCGCTCTCCAAGGTGCCAACAGATCTGTCTGCGCAGCTCCACCGCGCTGTTCTACCGGCACTTTGGACACAACTGGACTCAAATCCACTGCTCAGCTCAAACCAACCATCCGTTTGTTGTGGCCCGGGATCGTTCTGCGGTGTTCGATTATTGTAGGGAGAATGGATTTGTATGCACAGTAGTCTTGGGAGGAGAGGAGGGACATGGGCGGGGCTGAGGCGCCTCTCACTTCCCCTCCACGCTTAGCGGGGCAGCAGGGCTGGAGAGACCTCCGGGGAGCACAGTCGCCAGTCCAGCACGGAGACCCGCCTGGCCAAAAAACCGCGCCTCACACTTGCCAGGATTGCCAAATATTCCTGAAAAATATACCTGCTATTTATGGCATGTGGCTTGTAACTTTACTCCTGTTGTACTCTCTCCAAGAAGGTAAGAGAAAAATAAATTATGGAATTATTCTTCATCATGTACACTGACTGCTAGAGTCTTTCTGTTTTTAAGTTGAATGAAAAGTGATAATTAATCGAAATGACTGCATGTGGTGCTGTGTATGGTGTATGTCGCTGCTGCTTTGATCTTTCATTGCATGTCTTGTAATGGAGAATTGCTTGAAAATGATTCTTTAAATTAAAATGTAGAAACGCATTGGAGCTGAACAGGTAGAAAACCATTAAAGTTTAGGTATAAAGTGATTTATTTGGAATGTTTTGAGGTTTTTATGTGGTGGCCCGTGCTGCCTCAGATGGTGCTGATAGCACGGATTGTTTTCGCATTACCAACTCCAGTTATGAATATGTAAAATGGCTGAATAGGGAGAATGAGGTGCAAATACAGAGGGAGGGTGAGAGAGAAATGAAAACATGTACCGGCCTGCAATTATGTCAAATTTTCACCAATTTGATATCAAATTTCATCAAAATGTGTCACTCCTGTAAAGTTTTGCGGAGGATTCTTTTGATTTTTTGTTATCTCGAAGCTCTCATTGTGTAGCTTTTGCTAATTGCAGATGTTATTTATGCACTATATTTAGCACAAGCGCTCCATTCTATTTTTTTTTTTTTTAGGGTTTAATCCACTTTCTTTTAGAAGCAAAATTGTTTCCATTTAAAAAATGATGTTAATTAACAGGGCCCTTTTTTTTCGTCGGCCTTATTAGTCTAATGGCCCTGCACCTAAAAGGCCATAATTGGTGCATTCACATCTCTCCTCCGTAGCCTATTTAATTCATTTGCTCTCTTCAGTTTTTCTTCTAGTTAAATTGTATTTGTAGATTTTAAAGGCGCTCTATTTGTTTAAAAGGATTCGTTATTCCTTCTTGTTCTGTATGTGCAGTAAATCCCTGACCCTATTGCAAAGTTGATCTTGTGCTATTACAGTGCATTATAATAATCCTGTGCAAATCTGCGTCGAAAATAACAGAAGTTCAACACTGTCTCCACATGACAACATTTTATAGGCCGTTCTGTAGCCTGCTGCCTGCATGGAGCCATGTTTACATGTTGTTTTGTTCTTATTAGCACAGCCCTCGATGTGTTAATTCATTTATGAAAAAGTCTGGGATGTGGTGTGACTGGAAACAGAAAATTGGCTGATATTATGCTAATGCGTTGATTTAAAAAAAGGCCATAAAGTCTGTTTGCCATTTTAACTTCTGTCGTTTTCTCACTTGGATTGACCTTTTTTCTTAATGTATTTGCAAATCTAAATCACATATTGGCTCCATCTGTGTTGCATGTCGTTGCTGTTTATGTTGTGTTTCACCCACTTCATGTGTCAGTTATTCAATATTGACAAAAAGCAATAATTCAAAGTGAAGTCTGTGATTTCTCAGCCTCTCCGGGAATCACATTGATATACGCAAATTTATTTTACCAAATGAGAAACTTCAGGGGCGTGGGTGCGCATTATAGACTTGCCCGGTCATGTTCCTCTAATAGCGCACCTGGACCCCATGGACGTGGTCGCGTGTGTGCCAGCGCGTGCGTCACGGCTCATGTTTGTCTCTGTGTGTGTGTGTGTGTGTGTGTGTGTGTGTGTGTGTGTGTGTGCGCGTGTGTGTGGGCGCGCGCGGAGGAGGGGTAAGTGACGGGGGACACCCCTCCTGGTTTGGTTCTTAAATGGTTTGTGTGTCTGTGCGTGTGTGTCTGTATTTTTGTTATTTCTTCAACAAATAAAAATATTGATTATCTTCTATTAATTGAATTTACAAATCTCCTAAAATATTGGTTAGTTACATCAAAATCGAAGAATAATTTTAAAAAGTGTCTGTAATTTCAGCCAAAGAGGCATGTTCAGGGTGTGAGGTAATTAACAGATATTCAGCAAAAATGCTTGAGGGGCAGCTGACCAATTAGTGCACAATGCCTCTAATTTTTTTAGTCATTTCAGATATTCACCCAATTAAAGATGATTCATTTTGAATTTTTACTGGTAATTTGAGGTTTTCTTCATTTGAAATCCATTCACTGTTTTTTTAAATTGATTATTAATCTTTTTGACTTAAAGGCCTCCTGTAGGCCTATTTTGATCTTAACATTATAAAATAAAATAAAAATGAATGAAATGATATTCTTTTTTAACAGTATATCTTGCATTTTAAACTGTGGTGTGAAGAGCATTTAGATCCTTCACCTTGCACACTCCTCTCCACTGCTCATCCACATATAGAAATATGCAAACCACCCCCTTCCTCCCAGTCCAATTCCCTGCTGTTGCCTCTGCAAGGCTGCACAATTAAAACTGCAATCTGAGCTACAGTCACCTCTCAATGACAGAGGGCTGCCAATCAACAGGGCACAGGCCTACTTTTATAGCAGCTCAGACCTGCATGGCAGCATGTCCTGCAGAAACACCCATCATAAAAAAGGGGATTATAAATAAGACACCTAGCCCAAAGAGTGATTTTTGCTGCAACTGGTCATTTCAACAAATTTATTTCATGAATCTGAATCTTTTAAATCAAACGAGAGGAATCTGCTCCAAAAACAATTAGGTAAAGTCTCATTAAAAGGCCGTTGCTGGATTTTTTTTTGTCTCTGATCTACCCCTTAATCTCTAAAATTCCACAGACAATTTAAAATAACGACAAATGCAAGTTATGCTTCACAAATTAAAAATGAGAAAATATCTGCAGTCAAATTTGGATCCCTGTTGTTGCCAAATGGTGGGTAAAGCTGCTGAAATAAGACTGTCAGCAGGGAAATGCAGCTCATTTCACTTCGCAACTCGCCAATAGGATGTCTCAGCTCTGTCACCAGCATCCCTGCAATCCTATTCGTCCTTAAATCTATTTCACAACCAAACAAGATTACAAATGAGAACGGTTCTTTCAAAACCACAAAAAAAAAGATGCAAATTAACACAATCCACTGTAAGAAATGTTTGTCTTCTCAGTAAGAACTCTGTGTTACACCACCCTGATGCTAAATTAAACCAGACCTCCTTCTAAATTTGATTGGATGCTGGAGCTGAACATTTTTAGGCGGAAGGAGGGTGCGTTCAGCAAATGTCAAATCTCTGAAGCAAGTAGTTGTTTTTGTTGGATCTCTCTCTCTCTCTCTCTCCCCCCCTCTCTCTCTCTTTCTCTCTCCATCCATCCTCTCTTCTTCCCTTCATTGCTTCCTCTCGCACTAACTCCCCTCCCTCTCTCTCCCTCATCACTAGGCAGAATTAAAGGTTGGGGGAGGGGCTCTTTATGCAGACTGTGCTGGGACTTGTGATCCACAGATTTGATATTCACATTAAGAGAGAAACAGGCTGCTTTGATGTGCGGGGGTAGCAGGTCCCGGGGGACTGCTGAAGTAGCACACTTTTTTTTTTTACTGACACAGCACAGGCCGGGGGGTGGGAATGGGGGGGGGGGGTGGGTGTTGGTGTTAGGTGGGTGGGGAGCAGATTGTTGGGGACAGGGTGTACAGAAAGACAGTAGGTGAGGAGCGTTGATACCCCTGTGCTTATTAGTTAACCCAGACAAACCCCCTTTCTACATCTCCACCTTCTTACACAAGACCAGTGAGGATAATCCATAGGTTTACACCTTTCTTTTCCCCCCAGCCCCCCCAACATTCAACCAATATTCAATTTACACCCGTTCTTTCAGCACATCTCCTCCTTGTTTTATGTTTCCACAAACACTTTCAGTCCTCAAAGTTACAACTTTCTGTTATGGAAACACCTGAAGGGTGAGAGATATGAGGAGCAGACACAGGGGATACAGATTGACTCCTACTCAAGTAAAAAAAAAAGGGGGAGAGGTTTCTGACTTCCCCACATGGCTGACAATCAGGCCTTGTTCACATCGAGTCTGACCCAACTTTCGACCTTTAGCACACAGGTTTTCTTTCTGTCACTGCATCCTATCAGAGATCAGAGGTGCTACCAACATGATTGTCTTCTGACACTATAGAATTAAGTTTCGGTGCACCAATGAAAACATCGATCTCACATCATAATCGATCGGCTCCCCCAAACTAGTTAAAGTATTATTATCTATGATGATTAATAAATGAACAGTGAAGTGTGAGAAAATAATTTAAACATCGTCAAAGCAAGCACGCAAGAGTGTTTTTTCACCAACCGGGTATATGTTTTTATTTATGTTTTCGGACATATTTATTAATTCATTTTCTTAAATAATTTTCAAACAAAATAAAAAAAAGAAAATGAGATATTATTGACATTTTTGGATATTTGTTCATTTCAATTTGTACACTCTTCATATTTTTGTTGATCAAACTGGTAGCAAAGTCATACTTGGTGTTGGCTAATATTCAAATCTGTGTAACAATGTTTGTTTCCAGACTGAAGGGTATCAGAACATCTATGATGAATTGTGGTGAAAATGGGGTGCAGGTACGGTGGTACCCCATTTCCGCGGCCTCAGTTCGACTCAGAACCTCATCCCTGCACTGCATGCCATCCCCGACTCTCCTCCTCTAAACTTCCTGCCTCTGTCCACTTTTCTATCAAAAAAGGCAAAAGGCCAAACATTATCTCAAATTGAGATAAGAATTTAAAAAAATGTCTTGTCAGATGAAGAAATAGAAAGACGGAATAAGAGATGAAGTACATGTCGAGGTATTGTGTCTCTGCTGAGGCACAAGGAGATTTGGGTGCAAGAATGTGTGTGTGTGTGGAGGGTTCTAGGTTTGTTTACCTCCTCATCACAATACAGTCCTGAGCGTTGTGTGTGTGTGTGTGTGTGTGTGTGTGTGTGTGTTTGCGCGCACACTCGCATCCTGAGCAGGAGGCGTAGATCAGCTGCATTATGCATGATGAAACCTTGCATAGGTTATGACTTGTGCCTCTCTCACATACATATTCATGCGTGGCTCTCTGGCAGGATGTATAAAACAGTGGCTGCGGCTCTGACAGACGAAGCTTTGGCTCCAGCACCTCTAAGTGAGGGCTGCGTTCCTCTCTGCTGTGTCTGAGCGGGGATGATGAAGCCTCCTGGGTGCAGGTGAAGAGCTGCAGCTTCAACACATGGAGCTCGCACATGCACAGCTGTGGTCAGTATGAAGCGGAGTGTCTACACACTGCTGGATGTTTGTGGTCAGAAGAAAAGATACAACATGTGGCGGAGATAGAATTATCTCAAGATGTTTTAAACACGAACAGGCCTCATTGATATGATAAAAGGGAAATCAGACTTGAGCTAAGTTGAAATTAGGAACATTAATCAGATAGAAGACCTCATTTTGCACTTAAAAAAACATGTAATTGATTATATATTACTAATTCCTACAATTTAGGAGTTTGAACGATTAACGCGGTATTGATACTGATGCAGGGTGAAACTTCAGGTGTGTTGTAACAAGGGATGAACTATATATGTGCGGTGCGTATATATGGGCGGTTATGGCTCAGGTGGTTGTCGGTTGTCTCTGCAGCAACATGCCCGAAGTGCCTTGGGCAAGAAACTTAACTCCGAATTGCTCTGCTGCTTCGTCAGCGACATATGCATGTGCATGAATGGGATAAGTTACTTCTGATGATCACCTCTGCCATCAGTGCAAATTGGTGTGAATGGGTAGGTGTGGTATGCAGTGTAGAAGTGCTTTGAGGAGTCAGAAGACTAGAAAAGCGCTATACAAGCCCAAGTCTATTTAATATTCAATTTATATATTTATTTGATGCTGAATCATTATTCAGAATCATTTTTCAGCATCACATTATTCTAGATCCATCATAGTGAGATAATAACAGAACTATTGATCATGATATTTAACTAGCGAAAAATAACCTTTAAAATGATTACCAGTAATAGTTTCTATCATGTGTTGAACTTGGAGGGATAAGAATACCAACTGTTACCTGCCTAATCCTCACAAAAGTGGCTGTTGTACAGTAAGCTAGTTCAGGAGTTCAATGGTTAAATAATGATTTGACAGAGTTTAGAGTACTGAATCTATAATAAATGTTTTCTACGGTGTTTCACTCTCCAGACTTATGATGCCTATCATGTAAAGTTTAAAAAAAAAATGTTATCAGGTTGACATTAGTGTGCATCAATATGCAGAACAAAAAACGATCAGGTAAATTGTGGTTACATTATCATGAATCAAGACCTAATATATTTTGTTTTCCTAATCTTGGTGGAAGAATACCTGAGCTGTTATATGAGCCTGCCTGTTCTGAACCAGTAGAGGTGATACTGGCTGAGTTAGATGAGGTACGTATGAGGTGGTGAAAGGTGATTTATTTGACAGAGTTAACATGATGAATATGTCGAACAGCCGTTAGTTAGACTGACTGTGTTAAAAGAAAATCAATTTAATCTTTCACATGGGACTAAGGTAACTTGTTTTTTGTTTTTTTTACGTGTATCTGACCGAGAATTTAAATCAGTAAATAAAATGGAATTTCAATAAAATGTCAATAATTGTGGGGAAAAAATAATTTTTCAAAGTCCATTTAAAGTTTTTAGATTTTGTGACCAACAACAGCCCCAAACCCAAAGATATTCCGTTTATTTTGATACCAAATATAGAAACAGGAATTCTCTATATTTAACGGCCACAATCATAATTTCCTGATTTAATCGATTTAGCAATTATCAACAGATTTTTTTTTTTCTGTCGATCAAAAAAATCCATTAGTCAACTAATCGTAGCAGCTCTGCTTTGACGTTGGTATTCAGCTCAAATACATGTTCACAGTACAGTCTCTGTTGGTTACCTTCTGTTGGTTCATGTTGGATGTTTCAGGTATGCACAGGTGGATTGTGATGTTGGGACTGTTGGTTTCAAATGGAGTGGAAACTCCACCTGCCCAGCACAAACCAGACTGTGCCAACTGAGTGCTGGAGCATTACTTGTGTGAAACACTAATGTGCCAAACATAACCAAACAGCAGATTTTATAACTGATTTAGACACAATTTATACCAAATTTGGTAGTTAACACACTTGAATTTACAGAACTCTAATGCTGCCGTCTCTTTCTTTTTTCACTTTGAAGCTTTAAAACATATTTATCTTATTCAGCAGCGTATATCTCATTACAGCTTCCTGTGACAGACTCCGTGGTTTGGTTTCTAAATTTAGATTCTTCAGTGGGTCATTGTTGACGGGTTAAACTGTCCCGTAGTTTTTTATTTAGTCACAGCTTTCAAGTGCCAGCGCCACCATAGCAACCCACTCTGTCTCCTCCCAGTGTGACTGAGCGCTGAGAGCTGCTTTTGGAGTGAGTGAGTGTGTGTGTGTGTGAGAGAGAGAGAGAGAGAGAGAGAGAGAGAGTTAGAGTGTGTGTGTGTGTGTGTTTGTGTGTCATGTGTTGGCTCGCCTGGTTTTGACAGGCTCTGAGTGGTGGGAGTTTGCTCTGATCCCCTTTCTATTCCACTTCCCGCTCCATCAGTAGCCGTCCTCCCCTCACCCCCCCAGTGCCCTGGCCCCCCAGGCCATATAATCTCCTGTATGAGAGGTTCTCCTGCCGCCCAGCCCCCCCTGGCCTCATGCTCTCAGGGTGACCCCCTCACTCCTCCACTTTAGTCCTGTCCCCCCATTGGGAGATTATAGATATTGCAATCTTTAATATGGGCTTTATGCTCAGGGGCCATTATCAGTAATCTGCAGAGGGGAGGGAGTCTGACCTGGTTTTTGCAGCCCACCACTGGACTGCCAGACACATTTTCATATACCATTTGTAACATCGTCCCCAGATTTATCAATCTCTAGTCTAAGGATCTTTCAGAAGAAGCAGGAATTATGAGCAAACATTCCTGGATGAACAAAAACAGTATCTAGGTCTTTATTCGATATGGGGCTGGTGCTTAGCGCAACATAATACTTTATACTGTTTATGTTGAAGATTGATTCTGTTCAGGTTTTTTTGTTAATGTTTCTCCACATCACACAGGGCTTTAAGACATGCCTTAGTAAAAACACAGGCAAAGTCCACTTGCATTGGACAATTTTAACTTTCACTTTCACTTCTCCAGCAAGTCTCTTTTATCTCAATGTCACGGTGCTTCTCTGCAACAACCTTCAAAATCACTGTTTACACTTACACACGCGCACACACACGCACACGCACACACACGCACACGCACGCACACACACACACACACACAAAATCAATCATCACAATCACATAATCAATCTTAGAATTGAAACTTGTATTAGGAGATATCGTCGATGTCTGTGTCACAGCAGACATTTTTTTTGTTTCTCTTTAAAGTGAGCGCAAACTAAAATATGGTAATTGTAGTTTATCACATGAGAATTTGTAACTTTCTGTTTTATGTTCATGATTATCATTAGAAAAAATCTTATAGTCACAGAAAACATGCAATTTGGTGGAGCACAACCGCTTGAGTCAAGTTTATAGGGCATATTGCTAGCGCTTTACGCTATTTACTGACATTTAATAGACCAAAATATAAGGGAGTAATAATTACTTTGTATAATAATATGTACTTTGTTTACTAGGGGTAGAAAAAGAGGGAACTGACATGCAGGAAAGACTGGGAAATGATGTTCCAGTTTGGACCCGACCCCATAGCCCCCAAATAGGAACACAATAGCTTCATATGGGGCACTACCTAACTTATTTTCTAAATTCTTAAAGGCCAATGTTTTTGGCCTTTAAGCATTTATTGGATAGGACATCTTAAGAGAGACAGGAAATGTAGGGTGGAGAGAGTTGGGGATGACATGCACCAAAGGGCCAAAGTGGAATTTGAACCCTCGGCCGCTGGGACGAGGACCTTAGCCTATGGGGCTTGCAAAATATAAACTAGGCTGTCCGGAGCCCCAAACCTTATTTTCTTTTACCCAGATTCTTAAGTGGTCTGCTCCCCTTCTTTTTCACCCAGACCACAGTTTATGAATGATTACAAATACATACAGATACAGAATAAAACCTCAAGTACCACCTGGAAGATTTTTGCTCCATAATAAAATCATAATTATAAATTATTATTCCAAAATGGTTTAATTGGAGGCAGATTACTACATCAAAAGTGGGTTATCAATTGTTTCAAATTCAAATGGTTGTTTTCATCCATTTGAAGTTACATATTTTGACAGTCAACAAGCTGTATTTTAAAAGAAGAATAACCAATTGGTTTATTTTCTTTATAGTAAATATACACAGTACCCTGAGTGCTCATTTGATCTCTTTTCAATCAAAATCCTTTGTCTTAGTGTTAGTGTTTTAATCCTTCAGGAGGTTTTACTTTCTGTGCTGAACCGAACATTACCAGGGACTGTATGTGGGGGAAGATGTGTATCAGATGATATAATTTAGAGTCAGTTGTGGCATCCACATCTGTCGATCAGCATTGTCCCCCACCCCCCATGATTCATCTTTCTTATCTAATCTTTCTTATAAAGACCCCAAATTTTAAAGACCCCACCCCCCTCCTCCTCCTCCTCTCATTCCTTTCTCTGCTGGTACTGTATGTGTTTAATCTGAGTGCCAATGAAGAACATCTCTGTGTATCTAAGTGTGTGCTTGTGAGTGTGTGCGTGCCCTGTGTGTGTGTGTGTTAAATATGTAAGGAGATTAAATCGACTTAAATCTCTGCGTCTGGCATAGAAATTCCAATCACATAACCTATCTGTGTGCTCCTCTCTCTGTGCACACACACTGTACAGAGGTAACAGGCTCCGCCCTTCCTTCCCTCCACCTCCCCTCCACCTAAACCATCACAGGCTTTAGCCCAAATCCCTGGCTTTCTGGATCACATGACTTATGTTTGCAGCTGGACATTTGACATACATTTGTTATGATTATTTTGCTACACATTTGAAGGACATTCCTGCTTTGTCCATTTTTGTATCCATTAAAATGATGCCGATTGCTTTGAATCAGCAACAGTGGACTCATGTTAGCTTACGTTCATCCCTTTGTGTGTTTACAAGGCTCATCTCTGCCCTCTCACCTCCTAAATGATGTTGTGTCGTCCTTTTTTTTTGCCCCTGCAGTACACAGTGAGGATGTGGGCTCTACCAGGCTGTACTTTGTGAACGCCTCCCTGCAGAGGGTAACCTACTCCAGCTCGGTGGGGGTGTCCCTGCCCTGTCCTGCAGGGGGCACCCCCAGTGCCATACTGCGCTGGTACCTGGCCACCGGCGACGACATCTACGACGTGCCCCACATCCGCCATGTGCACGCAAATGGCACCCTGCAGCTGTACCCCTTCTCGCCCTCTGCCTACAACAGCTACATCCACGACAATGACTACTTCTGCACCGCCGAGAACCAGGCCGGCAAGATCCGTAGCCCCAACATCCGCATCAAAGCTGGTGAGAATAATGTGGGGAATTAAAAGGAAAAATTTGGGAAAGAAAACACAAGTGGTGGAGTTAAAGGTCAACTCCAAACATGACACAAGAGGGAATTCAGAAAAAAAAAAAAAACAGTCATGACAGAATAAAGTAGAGCAGATGTGATTGGCAGCTGCAAAAAGCCTTAACCACGCACACAATCACCTGCCCCAAAATAGCCCGCCTCGACCTGAACACAGATTGACCTAGAACACAGTCTGCAGAGAGAACATCTGCATCACATACTACAGTCGGACTCGGCCCGCACTCACACCTATCTGACTGAGCTGTGGATGAACCACTGCACTTTGTACCCACATAACCCCATCAGCTCCATCTACAACAGTGTACCACCTGGTGGGAAGAAAAGCCAAAGGACCAGCCCCTACAAGACTTAGAATTCAGTTGTAACTAGAATGTAATTTTTATGACCAAAAAGAGATTAGGAGGAAAAAGAGTTATTATATAATTCAGGCCTCATCAACACGTTTGATAAGGGCCGTATAATAAAGAGGATCAGGAACTTGCAACTTCTTCTATCATTTATAATACGTTTGAAAAGCTTTAGAAGGTGTGAAAAGTAAATCAAGACTGCAATGATTTTTGTTTTTTTCGGTTTCAGCCACCTTCTAACCTTAAACAGGGATTTTAATAAATCATATTTTGAATCGTTAATTTTCAATTCAATTGCTTAATTTTCAGAAACACAACATTAGACCAGCAACCAGTAACATTTGATTTAAAATGAAAGTAAATGAAAGTATTAAAGCTGGGGTTCAAATCCACCCAGTGGCTCTTTTCCCACATGTCATACCCCATTCTCTCTCGTGTCCCAATTTCCAACTCTATCCACTGTCCTGGCTCTCCACTAAAGGCCCCCAAAGCCCCAAAATACAGCGAAAAAAAAACAAAAACATAATTATTTGAACAGTTTATCAATCAAATATATCACTTTCAACTTAAGATAATTTGATTACATATTACAAGACTTTAACATGTGATTTTAAAATTCATACACATTTTTTAAGCTTTTTAAAGCTTCTTGTTAAGGATAAAGATTTCACTAATAAAACCAAATTTTGTTGGTATTCTATTTTCGGAGCGTTTGACCAGAAGCTGCCTTTGTTCCCATCATATTTCATTTCTCTCCTGCTCCTCTTCCCTTGTTCTTCAAACTGCTCTCTTGTGCCAGACTAAATATAGCCACAGCACACTTGTTTAATTATGTCTCATTAACAAAACTAATTGGTGCTTCCCATTGATTGGAGCATGTGAGGCTGCTTTAATAAGAGAGACCTTGTCTAAAGTAAAACTGTGCATCTGGGGGTTTCAGCTCTGTAGAAGCAGAAACATGAGGAAGAAGAATTAGAGACAGTTCTATCAAACCGCAGCTAGAACAAAGCTACATCTGAATGATAGTTACTCTGCATCTATTGTCCCCTCCTCCTTCTTTCCATCATTCATTCAGGCCAGTCAGTCCCTCCCCCTTCTCTCCTGCCGTCAACATCTGTTTTCATATTCTGCCTCCCAACACCGACCTGAACTAATACTCATATTAATTCTAATACTAATACTAGCGCCAAGTTGAGGATTTGAGCCAGGACCCTGAGCTGCATGCCAGCCGGTTGCTGCCTTCATTCCCACATGACCCTAAAGCCCGGCCTCAGGAGGCGAGGGATTAGCAGGAAGCAAACATCCTGCAGCCAGCGGCCTCTGTCGGGCTCTAAGGCACAGGTTACAATAGGACAGGGCGCTTTATTTTGGAGGGTCAGACTAGTGGCCATGTTGTTGAACTTGCCCTTCCACTGAGCAATAATTTAATCTAGTTTGAATCACTTTTTCTGCATCCTGCGAACAACAGTTTTTAAGAAAAATTCCCATCAGTGTTGCTTCACTCTGATCTGTTTTTTCTCCTCAAGTGTTCAAAGAAGATGCAAATTTCCATGCAAGTGTTCCCCTCCTGCAGCACGAATGTATGCACGCTGTCATCACGTCTGTTACCAGGGAAGGGATTCCGAACCAGTTTCTTAGCAACCTTCGGATACGTCCTAGCTTTCATGTGATTTTTGCTAATGAGTCCCCGCTCATTGAACAGAGTGTATAATAATGCATGAACCTGCATAAACTGAAGCACCAATAACCCTTCAGCTCTGGTGTGTCCTCGTGAAGTTCTGCACAAAAACAGATCAGTGTTACATGGTGATGTCATGCCAAAGCTGGAAAATAATTTCCATGATTATCCTGCTTAATGGCGGCTCGCGCCATTTATGGTGAAAGCAGAGGCAGGATTAGAGGAGTTCAAACAATACACGAGAGTGGGACAGTCTTTCTGATGAATTAGTGTGGAGTGCTGGGGTAATTGATGAAAGGCTGTTTTTGCTCTGGAGTGTTAATGTGTTTGTATTTGATGATGTAAACATGAGTAGGTTATGGTTTTTGTCCAGAAACAGGACTAAAGCTGAATATGATTAAAAGGCCCGAGATATGAGATCACCATGGTGTTGTCAACACAGACGATGGATGATATTCCGTATTGAAAATCAATTTATTTGAAAAAAAAAAACAAAAAAACATTTCAAACAAACAAATCCTTACATATATTTATTCGAAAAAACCTTCTCCAACAAAATTGTTAAAATCAACAAACACCTAATATTCAGTGGTAAGTAGAATTGTTCTGAAACCTGGTATCTGGTGATACTGGTTTTTGTGTCGACCTATGATAATCCACCAGAAAGAACTGCAGTGTGGTGCTTTGAGAGAGTGCAATGTTCGCAAGAAGTTAGCAAAATGTTTTCAATCACGGTTATTTTCACCGATTTGATTTAAATTGTTTTGCTGCAGTAGAACGGGGCACTGGAACAGTAAGTTAGTAGGGGGAAGACAAAATGGCAACGGAACGTTTCTAGCGGTTAGGAAAATATCCTGACATTTCTGTTTCCTAATTATCAGTTTTCAGGGAGCCCTACACGGTGCGGGTGGCAGACCAGCGCTCCATGCGGGGCAATGTAGCCGTGTTCAAGTGCCTCATCCCTGTTGCCGTGCAGGAGTACGTCAGTGTCGTGTCCTGGGAGAGAGATACCGTGTCCATCGTCCCAGGTAAGGCATCGTCTGAGGAATTTGGTTTATTCAGGGGTAGATATGGTTGTGTCATTTCAAAGGATTCAAGTAGGTCTGTGTGTGTGTGTGTGTGTTTATGCATCTGTGTGTTTGCGTGTTTGTGTATTTGTGTTTGTTTATGTGTGATTGTATGTGTGTGCGTTGATGCACCGCTGTGCTCCATGTTTGACCGAACTCTTAACTCGTGTCTTCTGTCTGCTCACTGTTCTGGATCACTGCTCTGGTCCTCCTCCCTCCTGTCCTCTTCTTCTTCCTCTTGTCTCAGTCGCTTCCCTCTCCGCAATCACTAGTTTTCAATTCTATCACATACAATCCCCCCACGTCAATTATTGTGATTGACACGGCATTACGCAGGCTCTCTTCCATGTGGTGTTACTACTGCTCAGTTTCTCCTCATCAGATCTATTTCTGTCCTCTCCCTGCTTGTCTCAGCGCCGTGTCCTTGAAGAACAGGGCCACAATTAGAGACACAGGATGTCAATAGGACTGAGACCCTACATTCATCTTCATTAACCTCATTTGTGTTCGTGAGTGTGTATGTGCAAGAGAAAGAAAGCCAAATGCAGTGTTCAGCCTTTCTGTCTTTTCGTCAGTCTTTTACATGATTATGTTATTTGATTATATACTGTGCAACGCATGTTTGAAATGTCTGCATCATTATTTCATGGTTGCAATAACAAAGCAGCAGAGAGGGATGGGCTATACAGTAAAGGAGGAAAATGAGCCAAAAGAGGAGAATCAAGGAGGGTAGTAGGGCAAGAACGGCCTCAGGTCCTGGCAGATGGTGTTTTATATTATATGTATGCAAAACACATAGACACAGTGTCACAAACACACATGCACCAAGCTCTCAGTAATTCACTATTTTATACATTCTGGTTTGATCCTGTTGTTTTTGAAGTGCTGAAGTGTTTTTAGGTTTTTTTGTAGTTAGCAACCTAGTAAAAGTTGCAATAATTAATTATTTTTTTGTTGGAAAAACCGGAACATGTCAGCACAAGTAATTCTCACAAGTTCTCCTCTGCGTGGCTCACTCACTCACTCTTTACACGGTTAGCCACAAACACAACATGGCTTCCTGTGATTTCTGTGCCTCTGTTTTGCCTTATCCTCTGTGTGTATATTTATGCTTCTTTATATACATAGTTTTTGCTGTGTACGGCATGAGGCGACTGTGTGTAATTAGGGGTATATAGGTCAGTTGATGAGCAGTGAGTGTGAAGATCAGATGTTGAACATGATGAGCTGCTCGCTGAACTCAGCCGCTTGTTTTCCTACTACAAAAAAAAAAACACAACATGGACTCGTGCGTTAATGTTCAACCTTGACCTCAAAATTCTGCCCTCATCAGCCAATCAAAACGGGCGCTTATCTGATAAACAAACACACTTTCAAAATCCTCTGCAGAATGATTTATAATCTGAGCATGGTAAAAGCAATCAAAGCATTCATAACCATTTACATAAATGGCCTTAACAGACATGATGAAAATGTGAAAATTAAAATTGATTTTGTGACTGAGCACTCTCTGCCTGTGAAGATGTGGGTGGTCGCTTGTCTTTGCCTGTCACCGCTTTGCCTGTCATCGCAGCTTGAAAAACACAGCAGGAAGGGCAGGAGGTTGATTATGACAGAGTAAATCTATACATACTTGTTTCTCTTTAAATAAGTAACAGTCAGTGTTTTCTGACATCCGTGTTTTCTGTTCAGGGTCATGAAAGGTTACAGGTCATCCCACAATGCACCAAGGTGTCAGAGAAAACTTGGACTGTTTCACGATTGCACGGGATTGCATGGAAATTAATTGAACTTTGTTTCTTGTATTTTGTTAAATCTCTACTGATCTGATTTTGTGGTCACATCCTCTCTGGCTGGGAAGTTTTTTTTTGAGTTATACAAATAAACAGGGACATTGTCTGCTGGCATCCACTGCAAACAAGCCAAAGAGCTCAACTGCCACTGACAATTTCTTTGAATTTTAAAGATTTTGTTGGGCCCATTGCAACAAAAGGGAAAATATCTGTTTAGTTTCCTGCAATGCCTTTTTAGCTGCAAACATCAGCACAAGGAAAAAGTGCCATAAAGCTTCATGCACTGTCCATTTAGATGTAGAGACAGCCTGTTGTTTCTGTTTTAATCTTCAAATTTACTTTGACATCCTTTCGAAGTATTTTTTGACTGATTGATATCTTTATATGTTTCATTGTGATAAAAAAGAGAACACACTATTAATCCAAAAATAACAATTAAAAAGTAACTAAAAAAAAGTTTAAACTGCAATATGCAACAAAAAGCAAAGCTTGTTCCCAAGAGAGATGAAGAGTTTAACATCTGCTTATCAACACTGATATTATATACATACAAATATTGACAATTGCAGTTGTTCTTAAACTCAAATATCCACCAGTGGCAATAGCAATGATAAAATGTAACAAGCTATCACATCCTTTCCTCTTCTTAACACCAGTCAACAATGTTTTTGTTTGTAAAATTCCTCAGCGATTCACCTGAGGTTGTCCCTCCTGATTCTGACAATCTGTATGTGAAGGGGTTTCAAATAAGAACATGAATTTTAAATTGTCCACTTCATCTTCTTTTTAAACCTGTTCCTTTGCACGGAGGAGTCATTGTCTGCGCTGATCAGTAACACAATCACATACCGGAGTGAAGGTTGAGTTGATGACATAACACAACGCAGCCGTGCCCTCTGCACCCCAACAGGTTCTATTTTGTCAAACACACACGTTCCCCATCTGGAGCCGTGTGTGTTTATGTGTGTATAAGTAAGTGTGAGTGTGTGAGTGGAGTTTGTGTGTGTGTGTGTGTGTGTGTGTCATGTCCCACTTTTCTGTCCAGCCTGGACAGTGAGGGGGTTTAGGAGGGGAGGGGTGCTTGCAGACTGACCTATTTCCCTCTCACTTCCCTGTCCCGTAAACCATCCCTGTAGTTAAGCTTTGTGTGCATGTTTTTGTGCATGTGTTTGTGACCCTCATGAGACAATGGAGACTAGTCTGAGCGGGGATCTGAAGGAGAAGAGCTGGAGCGCAGACAGAGGGATGGAGGGTTTGTAGATTGGAATAAAAACAACAACAGTGGGACGCAGAGAGGGTTCAGCCTTCAGATCGAAGCCGTCAGTTTTACCAGCAGAAAGTTAATGAGAGGCTCCTGTGAACAGAGACCCGACCAGCAGATGGCTGTGGCCACATGGTGGTCCACAGAAGATGCCCAAGCATGCTCCAACTCATCCTCCTGCCACACAGTTTGCTCCTGTTTGTGTATTTGCACAGTGATTTGATACACATGGAATTAGAACCAGTGCTGAGAGGCAAAAAAGGAAAGGAAATGAATCCACAAACTTCCATTTTCTCCAGCTCCCTGTGGGTCAATTATACCAAATACAGATGATGTTTTGCATGCTGCTAAACAATTGATTTACTGAATCTTTTACACACGCTGCAACTTTAAGATAATTATGAGAGAAAATGTGCATTCGATGAGTGTGTTGGGTTTAACCCTTCAGTGTGTAAACACTGAGTTAACAGTCTTTAATGTGAACTTGAGTCCTAAAGGGCGACACCGGGTGGTGAGGTCACTTACAGGCTACATTACAGATCAATCATCTGCCCCCTGGGGTCCCTGCTGGAAGTCAGGCAGTTCAACCTGACACAACAATACACACACACACACACATATGTCATGCACACTTGAACAGTATAGAGGTTAATTTGGGAACACATGGAAAAGTATACTTAAGTCTAGTGGGATAAGCATGCTGAAGGAGATGAACTATGACAATAAGTGTACAAAGTGACATATTTTAATGAAGAATAGAGCAGACTACCTTAAAGATATGCAACACATTTTTTCTGTAATGATTGATTAATGTTAGCTATTTTCTTAATTTAATTTCAATTAATCTTCAGTGGAAAGACAAGAAAACTGTGAAAAATGCAGGCTGTAATCTCCTGCAGCCCAAAGTGATGTCATCAATCCCATTTTATTTTTTCCCAACTGACAGTCCAAAATGGAAATATATTGTTTTTAAGGTTATAATTCCAAAAATATCTAAATTAAACCTGAAGTTGATTTATTGAATTTACATTTTTACTTGATAAATAACAAAATGGTCAAATAGATTAACTTTGTAATTTGTCCAATGACCAACTGTTTAACTGTTAATTAGTATATGTTGCAAATTTAGTCACAACCTGTGCATTATTAGTGCATATTTACATATTTAATTATATTACTATTAAAAAATGAAAGGTCTAAAGCCAATAGCAATATTCAGCTTCTTTGAGGTGTTTATAATAAAGTGATGTCCATAATGCAAGTTCAGTTTAATGTACCAACCACTGCATAGTTAAAAACACATCATGGGTTAAATGTACCCGCCTATTTATTTGGGGATTAGAAAAGAAGATCTACATGTGTGAGTATAGATCCAATATGTTTATGACACTTCTCATACACGAGTTTATCCTAATACACACATGCACGTCCAGCAGGGTTTCCTCTCAGTAATTAAAGCAGGGTGTCATAAGGGCTGCACACACACACACATACACAGACTGGTGCATGGAGGAGAGAGGTGACAAAGGCAGCAAGACGTCATGGAGAGCAGCGGTGTGTTAGGACACAATGAGTGTGTTTGTAAATCTATGCTTGTGCACTCTGAGCAGGAATACATTAATAGATACACTTGTCTGGGGCACCGCAGACTCATGTAAACACTAGTCCGATACACACACACACGGGCATCTACAAAGTACAAATGCACAAGCCTGCCCTCTACACACATTCACACCAAAAGAACACAATAAAGCCATTTCAGATTTGTCATGGAGCTGCCTGAATGTGGAGCTCTCATTAAACATTAACTCAGGATACATTAAGGCTCTGCTCTGCTCCCGCTGCTGTGTGATGCCTGTCTTGTTGTTGTGTTTCGGTCCGGCCTGGGTGTAGCAGGACGTGTGTGA